AAGTTGTCTTCTTTTTCAGCCAATCTTGAGTTGATTTGCTTGTGTGCTTTGTGTACATTGTCTTGCTGCACCACCCAACCTCTTTAAAGATTGAGGTCACGGACTGCTGCCCTGCATCTTGTATAAAGTGTCTTGATGCACTTTTCAATTAATCGATCTTTCAATACTTATAAGGCATCCATCGATAAGGCAGCAAAACAGCCCCAAACCATGATGCTCCTTCCACCATCTTGACAGCTGGGATGAAGTTATGGTGTTGGTGTGCACTGCCTTTTTCTCTACACATTTTCTGAGAAGCATTGTGTTACATGTAGGTGGTGTTGGACAACCCTGAGAAGCGCCACAATGTTTTTAGATATGTGCAATTCGTTTCGGGCCGAATATGAATTCGGACGAATTTCAGGAAATTCGGACATTCGGGTACTTCCGAATGTCCGAAATGCCGAAGTGCCGAATTACCAAGGTCCTGAAGTTCCATAAATACAGAATTTCTGAAGTGTCGAAGGGCTGAAGTGCCGAAGTTGCCGAAGTTCTGAAGCACAGTATTGCCTAAGTACTAATATACTTACCCAGTGGAAGAAGAAGAATGTTACACTGTATACAATTTTAAATAAAAAGTATACAAACATAGCCAGGATTCAGCTGTAAGCATTTGCAACACAACAATCAAGTAACATACATTCATATAAAATGTAAGTTACTTAGCCACTCATGTAATGACAGGAATGAATAAGTAAATAACTCCCTAATTCCCATGGTATTAGGGAGCTATCTACTAAAAGGCTGAAAAACCTAAATTGGTCTTTCAGCCAAATTTACTAATACTAAGTAAACATTACTTAGTATTAGTAAATTATGCCCCTACCCGTTATACCGCGAGTAGGGGCATGTCTATGAAACAATGAGCAGCCTGTGGCTGCTCATTGTAAAAAACAAACAAAAAAAACAAAAAACTTCCCCCCTCCTAATCTGAAGGGGGGACCTATTGCCCCCCTCCGGCCCCCACCCCTGAACGACGGGTGGGAGCCCTAAAGTAAAATAGGGGGGGGGGGACCTAAAATACTAATTGGGGGGACCTAATGTCCTCCACCCTGGTCCCCACCCCTGAGCGGTGGGTGGGGGCCCTAAATACTAATTAGGGGGGACCTAATGTCCTCCCCCCTTGCCCCCACCCCTGAGCGGTGGGTGGGGGCCCTAAATAAAAAAAATAACCCCCTCTCCCCCGGGTGACATGGGGTCCCCAAACCCCTAGTCACCCCCCTCCCCCAAAAAATTAACCCCTACCTACCCCCTTGCTAAAAATAATGAGGGGGGACCATTTAACTAAGTACATGAAAAAAATAAAATAAACTTACCATTTGATGTTTTCTTTCTTCTAAAATCTTCTTCAGCCCCAAAAAAGGCCAAATAAAAAGCCATAATAAAAAATAAAAAAAATCGAGCACAAAAAAAAAAAATCCATCTTCACCCATGGAGGGCTCTGTGTAGACTGAGCTCTGCTGGGCGGGGGAAGGCTTCCCCCGGCCCCCACCAGCCGCTCAGAGATGGGGGCCGGGGGAGGACAATAGATGTCCCACCCCATTATTTTACTTTAGGACCCCCACCCGCCCAGTTTAAAAGCCCCCATTCGCGCGTCGCGGGTGGGGGCTCGGGAGGGGGGACCCATTTTTTTTATTTTATTTTTTTAACAGTGAGCAGCCACTGGGAATTAGGGAGTTATCTACCAAACGGCTGCAAGATAAGTTACGAAATTCCGAAGTGTCGAAGTGCCGAATTGCCGAATTACCCCGAAATTTTCCCATGCACATGCCTAATGTTTTTTAGACAGGAGTGGTTTCCTTTGGGCTGTCTTTCCACAAACACAATTCTTATTCAGTGTTTTTCTGATAGTGGATATATGAACAAAGACTTTCACAGTTTGGGCTCTTTCTCACATCTCAGAACTTCCCATTGTATTCTTGCAGTGATCTTTGCAGGATACCTAGCAAAAGCCCAGAATTTTCTCCATTTGTGGACAATTTGTCTTACCATGGATTGATAAACACTCAGGTCTTTAGCAATGCAATTGTAAACTTTTCCAGCTTCATGCAGCTCTATAATGGTCTTTGAAGGTCCTATAAATATTGTAAGGATTGAAGCATGGAGAAGAACCGATTTGTCAGTAACCGAACTTTGTCCGTCTTTATTGAAAGTGCAGGGCACATGAGCAGTCCACACGTCCAATCCAGGCCTGGATTGAGAATAAGAAGTAGCCCTGGATAATTTTTTACACCAGCCCTATAATGCATTGCGTCAGTATTGTTGTGCAGGTCGAAGGAAAAACAATAAATGAGAAATACTTTTTGCAACACGAAGGACTGCTTTCACTGTAATTGAAAAACAAAATAAGTTTTATTTTATAGTGATAGATCAGACCCCTAAAGCACTTCAACTTTCTGCATCTTCTCTATTTCCATCTGTATAAAAAGTGGAGACTTTTTTCATTGGCAGTCTCCCCGCAGCGAAACAAGAGTGAGTAAACTATTTTTAGGTTTTAACACTGAAGTTAAAGGAACACTATAGTCACCTAAATTACTTTAGCTAAATAAAGCAGTTTTAGTGTATAGATCATTCCCCTGCAATTTCACTGCTCAATTCACTGTCATTTAGGTGTTAAATCACTTTGTATCTGTTTATGCAGCCCTAGCCACACCTCCCCTGGCTATGATTGACAGAGCCTGCATGAAAAAAAAACTGGTTTCACTTTCAAACAGATGTAATTTACCTTAAATAATTGTATCTCAATCTCTAAATTGAACTTTAATCACATACAGGAGGCTCTTGCAGGTTCTAGCAAGCTATTAACATAGCAGGGGATAAGAAAATCTTAATTAAACAGAACTTGTAATAAAGAAAGCCTAAATAGGGCTCTCTTTACAGGAAGTGTTTATGGAAGGCTGTGCAAGTCACATGCAGGGAGGTGTGACTAGGGTTCATAAACAAAGGGATTTAACTCCTAAATGGCAGAGGATTGAGCAGTGAGGCTGCAGGGGCATGTTCTATACACCAAAACTGCTTCATTAAGCTAAAGTTGTTCAGGTGACTATAGTGTCCCTTTAAGTAGAAATGTTTTCTGAAAAGTCTTGAAGTAGGACTCAAACGTTGATTGTATGTTAGTGCACTTCTGCCAAGTAACAATAGCTGAGCTGAAGATATTTTAATCGCTTATTATGAGCATTTGTTTTTTTTATCCACTGTTTTATGCATATATACAGGTATATGAGTGCATATTGGTTTATTAATTAATGTATATTAACGAGTACATAATATAATATAATGTAATGTAATTATATCAATACTAATACAATACATGTATATTAATATACATATATATATATATATATATACATAATTTGCTGAGAAATACCATAAATTAAGTAAAACTATTGAATTTTTCAGTAAACTTTGTCCTTCACACAGCACCGCCCACAAACACACTCTCTGATATGCACACTCACTCTCACTTACAGACATTTACTAACACACACACACATACACTGAGCCATACACACACTGGCACATAAACACAGACACATACAGTAGTACACACTGACCCATACACACAGACACGCATTCCCATATACACAGACACATATACACTAACACAGATACAGACACACATCCACTAATACACACAGACCTATACACACAGACACACATACCCATATACCCAGAAACGAATACACTAACACACAGACACACATACGCTGATACACACATACCCATATACACACTAATACACACTGACCCTTACACACAGACACATATACCCATATACTCAGATACGTATACACTAACACGTAACAGACACGTATACACTAACATACTTTCACACAAACCCATATAAACACTAATACACACTGACACACACTACACACACTACACACACAAACTCATATCCACACTAATACACACTTCTCACTGTGAAAATCACAGTGAGAAGACGCTGATGTCCATAGGAAAGCATTGAGAAATGCTTTTCTATGGACTGATTGAATGCGCGCGCGGCTCTTGACGTGCATGCGCATTCGGCTGATGACGTCGGAAGAGGGAGGAGAGTCCCCAGCGCCCTATAGTGCCAGGAAAACAAGTTTGTTTTCCTGGCACTATAGTGGTCCTTTAATTTACTTTTACAGACTACACACTGTGAATGAGTACTTAATGTCTTCAATAAATTAAACAGTTAATATGTTTGTGTGTTATTAGTTTAGTCAGATAGTGTTTGTCTATAATTGTGACTGAGAAGAAGAACATGAAACATTTTCAAAGTATTCAATCCATAAATCCTGGTAATGCCAAACGGTTTACAAACTTTTTTACACAGCAAGGTGTGATATGAGGCTGCAATTCTGTCTAAGCAGGGCACTCACCACTTTCTGCTCCAGTATATAAAACTTTTTTGTTACAACTACCTGTTAGTCCACTAGCAACTAAAAGGTAATTGAGAACAAAAACAATATATCTTATTTACATAGCCTGACTGCTAAATACATGTATTGTAGTTTCAATACACATAACTGTGAGTATTATTGCTGTGTAGCGCACAGTATACATTCAGACACACCAACAATATGTAAAAGAGGGACATTAGAACAGAAAGGAGGGAGGGATGTGGGCCCAAAGTAGGGACTGTGCCTTCAAAACAGGGACAGTTGGGAGGTATTAATTTTATTATAAATAACAATAAAAATGTGAAGTACACTTCCTGCAGAAAGATTGGCTTTCTCAGCTAAGCACATAATACAAAGGAAGCCCCAGGAGCAGTGATACAGCTGAAGCTTTATTTGTATACAATGTGCAGTAACCCAGCAACAGAATCCTATCAACATTCCACCCCCTGTGCTCAGAGCTAAACTGTCACTCTGAACCCTCCTCTCTGCTTGTTATGTTCCAATCCCAGCCACCACAGCCAATCACAAACGAGACGGTGTCCAACCAATCAGGACGCTTCTAACAGCTGTCTCTATAGGTTCAATGTGTGGGACGCTGAGATTGGCTGCTCTCTGCAGTGTGAGCTGAGAACCAGGAAGTGCAGAGTGCATGGTGAGAATGTGCAGGTGAAGCTCTCCTGGCAAAGCATTTCCTTGGATACAGGGCTGGAAAGCTGACCAGGTGGGTTGGCACTACAAACACACCAAATCTCACATAGGAATGTCACAGAGTTCAGCATTCTGTCCTCAAACTGTGTAACATGTAACACTAATAGTAAGAATGAACTGAAACAGTTTTAGGATTTCAGCCTTGTCCTGATTATAATTATTAGAGCATCACAGTGAGGGTAACTGGGAATACATCGTATTTGTATATGTTGTGTCTGTCACCTAAATTAAATATGGTGCAGATTTCAGAGTATTATTCTTTAAAATATAATGTTATGTGTTGGTGAGGTGCATAGCAGAATTACAGCTTTGTTTATTTTTATTTTGCTTATTAGCTGTAGTGGTGGGCACTAATAGGCACATTCTGTCACATTATCTGCCATGCATATGGCTATTAATACTTTTCTGACTAACTGTGACATTTTTAATTCTAGAGTCCACAGCTGCACTTTGTCACTATTATTGATTGGCACATTGTTCAGTTAATCAATATTAATATTAGAGTTAATAAAGCAAATAGGAAGAGCTGGATAATTATTGCTCTACTTGTTGCTAGCTGGCTACATGCCTGACAATCAGCCAGCCTCTGGATTAGGATGATCTGAGTTATAATTTGATGATGCACAGAGGGGACACAGCTCACTGGCAGAGAATAATAGGAGATGTTGTCAGATACCTCTGAGTTTATTCACTATGCTGTGAAATTTAGTGAATTTTAAATTAAAATATGAAAACTTTACTGTACTTCTTTTTAAGAATTTCTCAAAACCGATATATTAACCTAAATCTTGCCATTCAAATTTTAATCCAGTACTATTCATATTTTTCTGGATGATCCCGAGCCTTTTCCCCCATTAACTATTTTAGCTAAACGTAAAGTAGGTACTTTTGTTAGTATTCTGAATGTAGGCTTAAATTAAGAATAATTTTTCTCAGTTTATAATTAGACATCTATGAAGGGGTAAATCCTTAATTTATAATGTTTACTGACATTCGTGCATGAATGCGTGAGAATTCTCAAAGCAATAACAAATTTAAGGACAAAATTGCCAAACTAGAAGCATAGTTGGCTTGAGGAATGCTTCCAGTATTGCTATATTAGGCTGTAAACTTTAAATTCATTTTGAATTCCCTTTCCCAACAATTATCCCTTTAGTGAATAACTAAAATGGCAGTGGGAATGAAATATTTCAGAAAATGTTTAGGATGGCAGCTGGTAAAACAGTGAATACTTACTACATGTTATCCTGCTCTATTGTGTTCTGTAGTGAAGACAGCCTTCAGTGCATTAGAGGAACTCATGTGGGAATATGATTATTACAGCCACACTGAATTAGTCAGAGACAAGCAAAATTAAAATATACCTAACACATCCTCTCTTGAAGGGATCTCTACTTTTTGATAGTTTTCAGTTGACGATATCCAAACTACTTGAGCAGGAAATCAAATTCCAAAGCGCTTACAGAAGGGGTGCTCAAAAGGTAGATCCCAAAATGTTGAACTACCACTCCCTTGATGCTTTGCATGCCTTTAGAATGCCATTTGAATGACAAAACCTCATGGAAGCTGTAGTTTTTAAAACATTTGGGATCTAACTTTTGGGCACCCATGGCTTACAGCATTGTTGCAGATTTTATACGTTCGAGTTAGAAAAATCTTCTCTGTTAATGAATTACATAGTTTGGTGCTTTTATAATGAACCATGCTGTCTTTGATCAAAGAATAACTTTTTTTTTTTTTTCTCTCAAGGTCATCATTGTCTTTAAGGGCAGTGCTTAGACCAGCAAATAAAGTATGCAATCTGTTTGGACTTCCAGTAAAGATTCATGCTAGGATTCTTGGCAGAATTAGCCATCTAGGAGCACTGCAATAAAAGATCATATGATGGCAACTTCCCCGTTGTTAAACTTTTATTTTATTGTTTTTGCCATTCTTGAAAGACTTGTTCTTTTGTAGAATTACATACAGTATGTCCCTGGTTAGTGCCACTTTTTGTCTCAAATTAAACAATTGTGTGAACTCTTATTGCACAATTACAAAACACACATTGAATGTTTCAAATTGTGCTCCCTATATAAGCAGTAATTTTATAATCTGAACAATATGACTTTTTTTTTATCCTGAATTCATTCAGTTATGAGAATAGTCCCCATTTTAGTGTAAGTTAACACTGCTGGTGGTTTTTATAAATAGTTGGGTGCAATGTTAAATATGACACACAATAGGTCGGTGATTCTCTGAAACCTACAACCACTTCATAATGGTCTTACAAGATTCCAAATTATACTTTGTATAAACTGAATAAGGAAGTTTGTTTCTTAACATCAATATTCAGCAAGTTATTTGAAATGTTTTCTATTCCATTGTTATACTTACTAACTATCCTTGCCTTTTGTGTCACTATACCCCACTCTTTTTAGGATGTAAGCTCATTGAGCAGGGCCCTCAACCCCTCTGTTCCTGTGTGTCCAACTTGTCTGGTTACAACTACATGTTTGTTCGTCCACCCACTGTAAAGCGCTGCTGAATTTATTGGCGCTATATAAATAATAACATGATAACTATCCTTACTGCTTTAGCCATTTCAAGCGTTTAAAAAAAACAAAAATTGATTCCCTAATGTGTGTGTTTTTCTCCTAGGTCCATATTAAAAGGACAACCCCCGCTGCACAAGCATGGTTTGCGCGTTAGGAGAAGAATATAGGATATGTTCTTGCAATCACTCCTGCATCTCCACAGAATGTGTTCACCATGCTATTCTTAGGACTCATAGCATTTGCATGGTCTCTGACTTTTTTTATCCCAATATGGGAGGTGTGGAGAGTCATATTTATCAACTATCCCAGTGCCTGATTGAGCGAGGACACAAAGTCATAGTTGTCACTCATGCCTATGGGGATAGGAAAGGCATCCGTTATCTTACCAATGGTCTGAAAGTATATTATTTACCTTTAAAAGTAATGTATAACCAGTCTACTGCAACAACTCTTTTGCATAGCCTTCCTCTGCTCAGGTATATTTTTGTAAGGGAACGTGTCACTATCGTCCATTCGCATAGCTCATTCTCCGCAATGGCTCACGATGCTCTCTTCCATGCTAAGACGATGGGACTCCATACTGTGTTCACGGACCACTCACTCTTTGGTTTTGCCGATGTCAGCTCAGTGCTCACCAACAAACTTCTCACGGTTTCTTTGTGTGATACAACTCACATCATCTGCGTATCTTACACCAGCAAAGAAAATACTGTGCTCCGAGCAGCACTGGATCCTGAAATTGTCTCTGTGATTCCAAATGCTGTTGACCCCACGGATTTCACTCCAGACCCACTTAAGATAAAGGACAACAAAATTACCATTGTGGTTGTTAGCAGACTTGTATACAGAAAAGGTAATCGTTTTCTTAGTGGGTTCAATTAAAATGATCACCTTTTAAATGTAGTACTTACAAACCATCTTCTAATTGTGTGTTGTTTCCTATATTTAGTTTACACATGATTATAAAAGGACCACAATAGGCACCAAGACCATGTCTAATAAATTAAGGAGTCTGGGTGCAGTGCCACTGCTGTTTTACTCTTGCAATGTAAAACTTTACCATTTTGGAGATACGGTAATGTTCACAGTACGGGGCTAAACACAGATGGGCAACCTCCAGCACTCCAGGGTGTTCTGGCTATATCTTTATAATGCTTATACAGCCAAATAATACTGGCAAAGCATCAGGGAAGATGTAGTCCAGGGCATCTGTAGTCCTCACACTTTGCATGTGGACATTGAATGTTAAATCAATGCTTCTCATAAAGAAGCATTGGATTCAAAGTTTCTCTGAGAAGCATGTGATCAATTCCAGGTGAGTACAACATTATTTTAATAGATTTTTGTTTTTTAATTAAAAAAGGGACCCTACAAGCTAAAACACCCTACCCTGCTTTTTAAACAACAAGGGGTTTAGTTTCCATTGCAGAGTTTAACACACCTCTAGTGGCTGTCTTCCTGACCATTACTAGAGGTGCTTCCTCTGTGAGATTCTTCTATTTTAAACACACGTAGGCAAAGGGAATAACTAAATAGGTATATTAAAACCTATCGTAAGGAACACGTTTTGTATTCCTAATGCTGTAGTGTTCCTTTCATATTTCCTTTTAATGTTTATTTTTTCACAAAACAAACCTCAGATATAGTCTGTGCCAGAAAAAAAAAACACTGAAAAAGAGTTTTGTAAGAATTGCACATACTAAATTCTACTGCATATATATATTTTCTAAATAAATAAGTGCAAACAAAAGAGAATTTAAATACATTTTATACATTCTCAAAGTCATTGATATATGCACATTGGCCATGAATCTTTGAGGCACAATGACCTAATTTGATGAGGTAAAACATGGTCGAGTAGTAGAAACTGGGAAAATCCTGCAGCCAGGTCTCTATCCATCAACGCTTTGTACTATTTCCAGTTGATTTAGATGCTTCAAGCCAATATGGCGTTCCTATGCTCTGCATAATGCATGGTTGTGTTATAGCTTGGGGGAAAACCTGTCTAACTCTTTATCTTTGACTATTAATATGCATATTGTACATATAGGATGAGAATCAGATGTACAAACCAGTCAAAAACACTGCACAGATACCCCGCACGAGTCCTAATATGTACATGCAAAAATGAAACCAAAACCACAAGGATTTAAGGTTAGATGGTTTTTATGGAAAAACGTATTGAATGCAATAATAACATCCTTTTTCCTGCAGGGATTGATCTACTAGGTGGTATCATTCCTAAAATGTGTCACAAATACCCAGAACTGCATTTTATTATTGGTGGTGAGGGGCCTAAACGAATCATTTTAGAAGAAGTGCGAGAAAGATACCAACTCCATGACCGGTACGTTAAATCATGAATAACCCCATGCCTTAACTTTTTTGTGTGTGTGTGTGTGTGTGTTTGGAGGCTGTATGTTCAAGGTTTCAGTAAGAAATGCTCTACATTTAGAGATGATAAATGTTGCAGTCTCAGATGTAACTCCACCTCCAGTAGTGTATGAGCAAGGGGTTCGGGTCAATTTGTCCTCAATGTCTCCTGCTATGGGCACGTTTGCATGAGTGCTGTTTTGGGGGTGGGAAGCATGACCAACACTGTTTTTAGTTGAAGTGACCTTTTAATGTCCAACTCGTCTGGTTACAAATACTTGTTTGTTAGTCCACTCATTGTACATCGCTGCAGAATTTGTTGGAGCTTTATAAATAATAATGAAAACCCCAGCGGTTTATTGGGCCCCTGCTGCAATACAGCCATTCAAGTACAATCTACATATTTTTTTTTAATATTTTTTTTTCTAGGTGCTCCTCTTTCTAGATATAACATTAAAGGACCACTGTAGTGCCAGGAAAACAAACTTGTTTTCGTGGCACTATATAGTCCTTAGATCCCCACCCTCAGGGCCACCCTCCCGCTGGCCTGAAGGGGTTAATACCCCTTCAGCCACTTACCTTGATCCAGCGCAGATGACCTCACCTCCCCCTCCGACGTCAACTCCCAAGTGGACCCGCGTGCGCATTCAAACCGCTCATAGGAAAGCATTACTCAATGCTTTCCTATGAACATTCTGCGTGCTCAATGTGTTTTCTCGCATTAAGCGTAAGCACCTCTAGCGGCTGTCAGGAAGAGGCTGAATTAACCCTGCAATGTAAACATAGCAGTTTCTCTGAAGGGTTAAAACCTGGGGGACCTGGCACCCAGTCCACTTCATTGAGCTGAAGTGGTCTGGGTGACTATAGTGGTCCTTTAATGGAGTATTCCTTACTTAAAGGGATACTGTAGGCACCCAGACCACTTCAGCTCATTGAAGTGGTTTGGGTACAGTGTCTTTATTTCAGCACTAACTCTGCCTCCAGTGGCTGTCTATCAGACAGCCACAAGAGGTGCTTCCTAGATGTTAACAGAATTTTGGTCCGGTAACTGATGCTGGATGTCCTCACGCTCTGCACGAGGACATCCAGGGTCGGCTATTATCCCCATAGAAAAGCCTGGATTCAATGTTTTCCTATGGGAGGCCTAATGTGTTTGGATCAGATAAGTAAATAAAGGGTGCATAGCCTTCCTCTGCTCAGGTGTGTGTATGTGTGTGTGTGTATATATATATATATATATATATATATATAATTTTTTTTTTTTTTTTAACCCATTCGCATAGCTCATTCTCCGCAATGGCTCACGATGCCATTCTAACCCTTTATTTACCACTGCAACGGGGGTGCGATGGAGCTGGAGGCAAAGGGAGCTATAGTGCCAGGAATACAGCTTTGTAATCCTGCCACTTTATAGTATTCATTTAATTTGTTTAACATACTAATGTGTAATTCAGTTTGTTTGTTTTTTTTCTGTCCTTCATCTTAAAATGATTAAAGCATATCCTACTATGGCTACAAGGCTTTTCTTCCAGTTGGTGCCCTCTCACTGCACAGGTTAAAAGGATTTTACATGATGAGCTGAATGTTTTTGGGTAGGGTTTGTGCATTTTACATTAAAAGGACAATGTTCTTAATGTTATATATATTGCAAACTACACCAATCCCATTCTCGTAAACAATAAGGGCTTGGTATAAACAATGTGGCTTTTCTGGTCTGTTTGGTTTTACGTTTTGCCTTTTTTTTTTGTATAAAATGTTTAGATATCAAATTGGACTATTGTACTATACATGACTCTAACAGTCTTAGGGATCGACCGATATCATATTTTCGTCTCATATGCCCCCTAATCCTTGAGGTATTCGATTGTTTTGTATAACAAACAATAGAATACCTCAAGGATTAGGGGGCATATCTCAGATGAAAATAACATTGAAAACTTCTGATTATTAGCGTAGAATAACAAACACCAAGTTTTTTCCATAACCTTGTATTTTTCATTTTTAGAGTACAACTCTTGGGTGCATTGGAGCATCAGGAAGTACGGAATGTACTAGTGAAAGGAGATATCTTTCTAAATACATCCTTGACTGAAGCTTTCTGTATGGCAATTGTAGAAGCTGTTAGCTGTGGATTGCAGGTTAGTTTTCAGACATACCGGTACTACAATTTACGTCGGGATAGGTAGTCAGATCATGGGTCAAAATCATCACTAAAAACGTATGCAAGATAAACAGACAATGATCACATTGCAGTTCTCAAATACAGACATTATTCTGCACTCTATCTGGTCAGAAAGTAGTATTATCCATTTATCTGTAAAAATATATAAAGTAATTTGTTGACTATAAGTAAAACCTAGAGAGACTACCAAAACGCTGCTATCCTCTATGGAAGGGTCTCTTTTCAAACTAAAATAAACCTTTAAACAACACAAAATAGGGTGGGGAAACAAATCTGTGATGTTGGGGGAGACTAGGCCACAATGGTAGTTTTATGTAAGAAAGAAAAAGGTAAGGTTATTAAAACATGCATTTTTATTGTTTTATATTAGAAATACTGTACAAAAAAAAATACAGTGCTGTAATAATTATAGTCAAAATAAATAAAATAAAAACAGGTACACATGGCTTCTCTAGTCTCGGTGTCCCTAATAAATATTGAGAGTAAGTGGTGTGATTAATTGTGTGGGGCTGAATAGGAAAAAAAAAAACAGCCAAATTACATTTCACTGTGGTTGTTCCAGCTAATGATTGTAGGAGGAAATATAGATATAGGTATAGAGCAGCTAGTTCTTTTGCATAAACTTAAAAGAAGAAAATAAATTGAGGCAGTATTTGCGGTAGATTTTCATGAATATATGTATTCATTAGATCTAAGGCAAAGAGGAAAAATCTGTATAATGTACAGCAAGGGGTGCCCATGATGTAGTTCCCCTAGATGTTGTAAAAACTTCAACTCCCATGATGCTTAGCATGCCTTTAGAATGACAAAGCATCATGGAAGCTGTAGTTAAAAAAAAAAAAAAAAATCAAAAAAAAAATTAAAAAAAATCAGGGGATCTAATGTTTGGGCACCCCTGATGTACAGTATATCACAGTAATGTGCAGTGTGTATGAATGTATCACAGAGCACAACAGTGAACTCCCTGTAATGCAAAGTGTGTTTAAGTATATTGTATAACTCAACAGCAATATTTTTGTTACACTAACATATGTTGTGTACATATAAAACTAATTTTGCAGATAGAATGTAGAATGCCGTTATATAAAGTTGCATGTTGGTTGTAAGCACATTTTATGCCTAGCTAGTGGCTCAATGCTTGACATTTATTATTGACAGTTACCTATTTTGGCTGTACCCCCACCCTAACTACACGTCCACTTTTCCATCCTAAAAAAATAAGCCCCAATCTAGCCATTTGTGGTTTCAGAGATTTTGGCTTTTGCAAAATACATCCATGAATTAATGAAACGTTGCTATTGGTTTCCGAGAATTGTTGGTATGCCGTCTTTCAAAGTTGCATCTGCAGAATTTAATTTACTGGTGTTGTTTGCTTTAACAGGTGGTGAGCACAAGAGTAGGTGGCATTCCTGAGGTTCTGCCAGAGAATTTCATTATTCTTTGTGAACCCTCTGTGAAGTCGCTTTGCAGTGGTTTAAAGAAAGCTATAGATAACATGAAGTCCGGAACCTTACCGAGTGCCGATGCCATCCATAAGGAAGTGAGGGAATTTTATACTTGGAGAGATGTCGCTGAAAGGACTGAAAAAGTGAGTACTCTCCGCTCCCAGAAAGCTGAATGTTTATTGCTAAAATACTATAGGAACTATGGTGACTTTATCTAACTTTCTGTATACACAGGATGTGCATCAAATTTGTATCCCCACCTAAATGCCCTTTCTTTAATCGTAGTTCATTTAGGTTTACTGATTATAGCATTTATGCTTTACTCTTTATGCTCTCTTTAGGCTATGTTAAAGGACCACTATAGGCACCCAGACCACTTCAGCTTAATGAAGTGGTCTGGGTGCCAGGTCCAGCTAGGGTTAACCCTTTTTTTTTTTTATAAACATAGCAGTTTCAAAGAAACTGCTATGTTTATGTTAGGGTTAATCCAGGCTCCAGCTAGAGGCGCTTGCGTGCTTCTCACTGTGAAAATCACAGTAAGAAGATGCCAGCGTCCATAGGAAAGCATTGTGAATGCTTTCCTATGAGACTGGCTGGCTGCGCGCGCAGCTCCTGCCACGCATGCTCATTCAGGAGAGGAGGAGGAGGAGGAGGAGGAGGAGAGCTCCCCGCCCGGCGCTGGAAAAAGAGGTAAGTTTAACCCCTTCCTCCCCCCTCAGCGCCACGGGAGTGGGACCCTGAGGGTGGGGGCACTCTCAGGGCACTATAGTTTTCCTGGCACTATAGTGGTCCTTTAAGTTAGAAGTGAGTCCTATTGAGTCCTATTTGGAGCAATGTACAGTCTGGGATAGTAACACTGGAATGTTGAATGAAGCATTCTGCGTTTAAGACTGCATCATTCCAGGAAACAAAGTGTACATACTAAGATGGAGATATCAGAAGACTGATTGCTATTTTTTATTTATTTACATAATTATTTATGAAATCCTACTCTTTCCTATAAATATTCTGTTCCTATCAACATCCAAGGATGTACAGGTAACTAGGTGCACTTGATACGTGACACTTATTTTTCTAAACTTTACATACTCGGTTTGCAGTCACAAATGGACCACAACATTCATTGGCACAACCCCTTACTTCACTAACGTGCAAATGGGATGCACAGTTACTTAGCTTAGCTGCCACGGCACAGCACATGCACATTAGGATCTCGCCGTGATACTGTTGGAGAAGACTGTAAATACCAAAAGACTTCTGCACTGGAATAAGGGAAGTGGAGGCAGAGGGACACTATAGTGTTCCTTTAAATACCTACAGATTGATGGAGGGCTTAAGTAAAATATGAGTTTGGCACATTATACATAGTTACTTGTTTTAAGCACATTAGTTATATAGCGATCTTCAAATAATATATACATAAAAAGCTGCCAAGTATATCTGAGAGGCCTGCATGTCTGGCATTCCGAAAGTCAAATAATGATTTCAATAAAGACACAGTTACAATAAAAATAATGGCACCCTTAAATAATCCTGATTCCTAGGTATGCATTACTATATTATATTGTCTCTTTAGCATCTCAGAGTTTAGATATACTGAGATTCAGCTGTCAGAGTTCATGCATTCTGATGTGCATTTATATATTAATGGTTTGATGGTCTTTATCCTCTGATTTTGTCTCCCTCTAGGTGTATGATCGGGTATCACGTCAGACCGTATTACCAATGAACAAGCGACTTGAACGACTTATAACGCACTGTGGCATGGTCACAGGCTGTATTTTCGCTCTGTTTGCCATAGTTACTTACATATTCCTGATCTTTCTACGATGGATGACTCCTGATTCCGTGATTGACATTGCTATTAATGCCACTGGACCTGAAGGGGCTTGGACCAAACATTATCCTCCTAAAAAATCACTAAGAAACTGACCTTTTACTATTATTTTAGTAGAGTATTGCACTGTATCCTACTGCCAATGCTATGTCCGTATGACTTGAGAGCCACCGAAAACATATACATTATACGGTTATTTACGAAAGTGAGAATTCAAACTAAATTCAAAGGAGATTCTAGCTTTAGGAATCCAAACATGTATTTCTAAAACTAGAGTGTTATGCTAACTATTTAGATTAAGTAAAATAAGTAGTCTTGCCATTCTGCCTCTGGCTGAGATCATCCTGTTCTAAGCCAAACCAATGCATCTCCATTGGGAGGCTAGTGAACTGTTGAGCCAGCATGGCCAGTCTGTTTGCCCCAGCACTACTATAATTATCTGTAGTGGTTCTGGTGGCTACAGAGTCCATTTAAGGCCAACATAGCATAACTAGAAGAGAATGCTGAGAATGAGTGTTTCCAATGTGGCTATTTTTACCTTGAATTTGAAATTCACTATGAATTCTAAGTTTAGTAAATAAAACCAATTACCATGTCTTCAATATACATCAAATTGTAGTGAATTTGAAACTGAATTGTAAAATTTACGATTTACTATATTCTTAGTTATTTCTGTAGCTAAATTTACAGCTTGGCTATGTCTATCTAAATTTTGCAATTCTGTTTCACTTCTACTAAAAGTCAGTGTTGAGTAAATAAACTCCATCTTTATTACAAGTGATACAATTGTCAGTGAGCAAATCAATAACTTGCCTTCCTCCTTGAACACATAGGATTGTGAAATCCACAATTACTAACGTAGTTACAGCTGTGGACGTATTGAGTCACTAAACAACTTGAATATGTTAGATGTTTCTACTTAGTTTGTACTTTGTATTAAGGGCCGTAAGTTTTTTGCTGAATAGCAATGCAAAGTATGGCTACATTAGTAAGGGTACTTTCCCAGATATATAATACGGTTTGTATGAATTTAATGACTCAAGGAAAGAAGGAAGGCTTGTTTCGGCAAAATGACAATAGCTAGGATGGAAGCTTACCCTTTCTCTGTAACTTTAAAGAGAGCCTGTAGTCCATGAAATATATTTTTTTAGAGACTCTAGTTTCCTTTCTATCTCTGTGAGCACTGTCCTCTACTTTTTTTGCTGCTAAATATTAAAGTTAAATAATGACCACTTGCCTAATTTCCAGCACCAAGACTTCTTTGTTGCAGTCGCGTGCACCGACTTCGATGACGTCCCTATGACTGCTGCTGTCTTCTGCGGTCACCTCCAATCAAATGCTTCTCTTAAAGAATTGGAGATATGCATGCGTGGCCGAGCACTACTCTCCTCCACTAAAATGCTGTGAGCAGCATTTGAATGCAAGACCGAGTTTCACTCGGTTCTGAGGGAGGAAGCGCCTCTAGTTGTTAAGAAGACAGTCACTAGAGGTGCATTTAACCTGCAATATAAACATTGTAATTTCTACAAAGCTGCAGTGTTTTACATTACAGGGTTATAGTGACAGGACCACGGCACCCAGGCCACTTCATTGAGATGAAGTGGTCTTGGGTGACTGTAGTGGTCCTTTACTCCATACATCAGTTACAGGTGTATCTTCTTCTTGCACTGATAAAGTGCAGTATTTAGCTTTGTCTTAAAATATATACATGACTTTACGAAACTGTGGATTGTGGTTAACTGACCACAAGTAAAATTTAGATGAGAATTTCTACTTTGCTATGTTGCAGGTTTTTTTTGTGACTTTATTTTGCCATTGATTTGGAAACTTTATCTGCTTACGGTTTGTCTCCACAGTAATCATTTCTTTACTCAAATGATGCTGATGCAACAAACCAAGTGTTTACAGCATATTTAGCACTCCTAAAAATTGTACACTTGAAATATATATATATATATATATAATTTTTTTTTTTTTCATGAGCTGTTGATCAAAGATGTTTATATAGCACTTTTTGAGTAATTAAAAGGGGAACTATAGGCACCAAGACCACTTCATCTCACTGAAGTGGTCCCTGTCTTATTAGCATTGCAGCTGCAAACATTGCAGTTTCACAGAAACTGCAATGTTTAAATTGCAGGGTTAAGGCAGCCTCTAGAAGCACTCCGTGAAACTACACTGGACGTTCTCAGCATCTTCTAAAACCCCATAGGTAAGCGTTGAGTCAGTTAGTCAGTCGGCGCTAGTTCCCCCACATCTGCTGACCTTGGAGGAGGACCCAGCACCAAGAGACTGCGGCGTTGGATTCGGGTAAGTGAAAAAAGGTTATGTATACCTTTTACTTGTCAGGGGTTCAGAGGGACCCTTTAAGTTTAGGAATACATCTTTGTAATACTAATACCATTTTCATTTGATATATTATCCTTTAAAAGAATGGGGGGAGAGGGGAAAATAATTAAAATGGACCCTAGAGCACCATAGCTCCTGCAGGGCCTTCTATTGGTTATGGTGCTATGGTGCTATAGTCTTTGGATGTTACACTCCGTTTTCTATTAAACTGCTTTTGAGTAGTTTTACAAGAAACTCTGCTCCGTCCTCAAAGGCACCCCTGGTTGACGTCTACATGTTCCATCCAACCTTATTGTCTGCAGTCTATTGTTTGCCATCAATTGTTGGATCAGGTCTTATTCTGATAATGTGTAAAGGAATCTATAGGACATGGTTTTGCTTGCCAGGTAGAGTCCTGATTTATATCAAAGCTTTTAAAGGTGGGTTGACAAAAAATGGGGTGGTAGCCATTGATTCAATGAGCTGTGACCACTACTATGAACTGTGGTGGTTATGGTACTTAGACTGTTTCTTAAGAACACTTTGTTGCATAAAAAAAAAATTTGATAGTTACATAGGCTGAATAGAGACATGTGTCCATCAAGTTCAGCCTTTCTCATATCTGCTTTTGCTGTTGAGCTAAAAGAAGGCAAAATAATTCCTTCTTGACCCCAGAATGGCAGCTATATCTTTCCTTAAGTTTCAAGAAGCTGTTCTCACACATATTAAACATTATATCCCTGAATATTATGTTTTTTTCCAAGTATTCATCCCGTTGCTATACAGACTTGGATGTGCTAAAAGCTGCCTGAAGTTTTGATGGGAAGATATGTGTTCATGCTAATATATAGATATTCGCTGCTCTTTTCTGTCTGATAACCTAAGCACATAGCCTTATAGTTAAAGGAGCACTATAACGTTGGGAATGTATCTATGTATTCATCAAGCTTTCTTTACTTACCTTATTTAAACTGGCGCACCAGTCTCGCTGCAGCCACTGCTTCTACCCTGGATGAGACTTTCATTACAAATTATTTCAGCCAATCCAATGCTTCCCCATAGAAAAGCATTGGGGGACTAATGTGCATGTGCAGCAATCGCCTCACCAGCAAGTATCCTCTCATACATGTGCATTGGCTCAATGCGTCTCTATGGGGTGCGTACAGCATCTTCACACAGAGTGCAAAAGAGGAAGGGCCTCTGTCTGAGTAAATGCCATTAGAAAGTCCATTCAGTACATATGTAAACAATGACCATTCTCAGGAAAGGCAGTGTTTACAGTTGTTAGCCTGCAGGGACAGACTCTAAGCACTCGAACTAATACATTAATGGGACACTGCTGCTCCCAAAAAAAGAAAAATCACTATGTAGCAGAACTCTTGTCTGCAGTTTTTGCAAGCCCTCCCCTTCACAGACTTTCTGGTGCTGTCCAATCTCAGACCTCCCAATGCATCTTAATTAAAAGTCTTTGCAAGGCAGTTCTGGGCACTAGTCTGCCTCTCGAATTTAACTACGTCGAGTTAAACAACCAGGAAGTAACAGGACATGTCTGATTAAGAGCCATGGATGTAACAAGGCTACTTCATAGAAGTGCCAATTACTATTGAAATCTAGATTTTTTTTTTTTTTAAATGAATAAAGAGAACACACCCTTCTATTATAAAGCACTTTGGCAAGCTAAAGTGCTTTAACATAGAAACATAGAATGTGACGGCAGATAAGAACCATTCGGCCCATCTAGTCTGCCCAATTTTCTAAATACTTTCATTAGTCCCGGGCCTTATCTTATAGTTAGGATAGCCTTATGCCTATCCCACGCATGCTTAAACTCCTTTAAGTGTTTGAACTGTTCCGTTAAGCTGTAATACTTCTGATGCTTAGAGTCCCCCTTTAAATACATCTCCGTATAGCTTAAGAGAAACTTCATGTTCTGAAAACCACATTTTATAAAGTCTTACAGATATTTGTTTATTGTGATTGCAAATTGCGTTATGAAGCCTGTTTTGCCGGATTTAACTCTTTACATATTTTTTTTTTTTTTTGTATCCTTAAATGCATTTGATGGCTTGCATTTTTCATTGAGATGTTGGGAAGAAAATTCCTGGAACTGCAATTATTTTTAAATATTTTTTAAAGTATTTATTTCTCAATTTATAAGGGCTGTACGGTTTTGTAAGGTCTGTAATGACCACAGCACTGTATTGGAACATTGTTTTATGTCTATTTCAGGAAGTTTGAATGTATTTTATGAAATTGTACGTATTCTGTTTTAAACTGGATAGTGCCAATCAAACTGGTTTTCAATGGATTGTCTCAAGTCTTTCTTAATGAGGAACATTCTAATGCAGTGTTAAGTTTTTTGTGTTTTTTTTTTCTTCTTCTTCTAATCGAAAGATCCTGCAATCCACAGGCCACTGGATGCACACTGGATTTGTCCATTTTGGGGGTCTTTGTGAAATATACCCTCAAAATCGAAATATCTGCTTTAGGTTATAATGTTAAAAGAAAAATATCAAGTCGGTGCAGTTGGTGAAAAGGTAGGTGGGGGAAAGTGGCCTTTAGGCCATGTGTAAGGAGAGCCAACATTTCTGATGGCAACCCATAATACTAAGTTCTATTGCTCCATGTGATATAAAATGTATTCTTTGAAAGAAAATATTTGTCTTATAACATTTTTTCTTTTTGAATTCTGAAGCCAGATAACATGCTCAAGCTGAACATTAAATGTATTTGATCCTTTGAAAATAAAAGGTTCAGGCATGTACCTTTTGTAGCTCATTCATATCCATGTGCTATAAGCTGACTTTGTACATAGGTACATGGGAATCTTTGTTGAAAATAGATACAAGTCCTTAATGTTTAAAGGAGCACTATAGTGCCAGGAAAACAAACTCTTTTTCCTGGCACTATAAGGTCATTTGTTCCTCCCTACCCTCATGGCCCCCCTCCCGCTGGGCTGAAGAGGTTAAAACCCCTTCAGCCACTTACCTTTCTCCAGCGCTGGGCAACTCTCCACCCCCTACCGAAGTCAGATCCGAACCATTCAAACCACCCATATGAAAGCATTACTCAGTGCTTTCCTATGGACGTCCAGCGTCTTCTCACTGTGATTTTCACAGTGAGAATCGCAGAAGCGCCCCTAGCGGCTGTCAGTGAGACAGCCACGAGAGGCTGGATTAACCCTCACTGAAACAGCAGTTTCTCTTCTTTTCAGCTGCAGGGTTAAAACTAGAGGGACCTGGCACCTAGACCACTTCATTGAGCTGAAGTGCTCTGGGTGCCTATAGTGGTCCTTTAACTTTTCACACATAGAAAGGAAATCACTCTTACCTCAAGTCCTAACATCTTTAAATGTTCTGCTTTGCAGTAAACACATGAAGAGTATTTAAAAAAAAAAAAAAAAAGTCTACTTAAAGGGACACTCCAGGCACCCAGACCACTTCTGCCCATTGGAATGGTCTGGGTGCCAACTCCCACTACCCTTAACCCTGCAGGTGTAATTATTGCAGTTAAGTCCTCCTCTACTAGACAGCCACTAGAGGACACTTCGGTGTTCATAGAGCATGAAAAGTGTGTTATAACGACACTGGACGTCCTCACGTTATGTAATCCCCATAGGAAAGCATTGAAAGCATTATTTAATGCTTTCCTATGGGGAGGTCTAATGCTGGCCGCGCATGCTCAATAGGTATCCCCGCTGGCTGACATCGGCGGGGCCTGACCCAGCACTGAGGGACATCGGCGCTGGATACAGGTAAGTCACTGAAGGGGTTTTAACCCCCTCAGCAACCTGGGATGAGAGGTGGGAGGGAGAGGGGACCTGCAGTGCAAGGAAAACGGTTTGTTTTCCTGGCACTGGAGAGTTCCTTTAAAGGGACACTGTAGGTACCCAGACCACTTCAGCTAATTGAAGTGGTCTGGGTGCTGTGATCCTTTTGCGCTTAGTACTCCAAAGAACTGCAATATTTGCATTGCAGTTCTAAGCCTGCCCTCTGTGACTGTCTAAGTGTCTAACAGACCGCCACTGGAGGGCTTCCGGAATTCAAACAGAATTTTGGTCCATTATCTGACGCCGGACGTCCTCACAGACCTCCAGTGTCAGATTCTCCCCGTAGGAAAGTATTAACTAATGCTTTCCTATGGGAAAGGTCTAATGTGCGTGCGGACATTGCTGCGAATGCACATTAGGTCTCCCCGCTGGCTGACGGCGCGGGGGAGGGGCATGGGCGGAACCTGATCCAGTGCCGAGGGGCATTGGCTCTGGATTCGGGTAAGTGGCTGAAGGTGTTTTAACTTCTTCAGCAACATGGAATGGGGGGCCCCGAGGGAGGACCTAATAACCCCATAGTGGCAGGAAAACTGCTTTCCCTTTAATAAAATAAAACAACATATTTCCACAGATAATTCCACATCTTTGGTAATACTGTAAAGGTCCACTGCGCTGCAGAACAAATCACTTTTCTTCAACTCTCATGAAGTATTAGTGGTTCTCCCACCATTGGACAGTACTCTAAGCATGTCTGAGCTATAGTTATTTAAAGTGGTACACCAAACAAAATGAGTGTTTTAATAAAATATTGTTTTTGACTGAAAAAGCCTTTGCTGACACCCCCCTTCCTAAAAAAAAAATAAAAAAAAAAAATCCTAAGCACAGAATTCAAGGTCTTTTGAAACAAGTAGAAGGACAACTTTCGTCACTGTCCAAGATATTTTTCCCCTATGAACGATTGACAGTCTGGAGTAGTAAAGGGACACTGTTGGCACCCAGACCCCTTCAGCTCATTGAAGTGGTTTGAGTGTTGTGTTTCTTTTGCAGCTAATTCCAGAGAAACTGCAATGTTTCCATTGCAGATCTAAGTCTGCCCTCAATGACTGTCCTCTAGAAGGCTTCCTGAATTGAAACAGACCCTTTGGTATCTGACAGTGGCCGTTCTCACGCTCTGCATGAGGACATCCAGCTCCAGATTTTATTTTCCATAAGAAAGCATTGATTCAATGCTTTTCTATAGGGAGGTCTAATGCGCGCGTAGCGTTTGCTGCACATGTGCATTAGCGGCTGCTCGTTGCGAGATGTCGGAGGGGGTGGACATGTGTAGAGAGTTCTGTTTTAAGAAGCAGTCTCAACCCATTACTAGTCTGTTTCAACTAATGTGGGCCCAGGAAAATTACAAGGACACAATTTTTGGGGGTCTTGAACAGGGTGTACACATAACCCATGGGGCCCCGGTGCAGAACTGATTCATGTGGCCCCCCTTCCCTCTCTCTTCACCCCCCTCTAACTCTTCCCCTTGACAGACACACGCATGCATACATACATACAGAAACAGGTCGACAGATACATATAGACACATACATACACACGACACATACATACAGACAGGCATACATACAGACACACATGACACATACATACATAAAACCAGACAGGCACACACACGACAAACATACATACAAAGACACATACAGACAGGCACACATACACACACACGACATACATATAAAGACACATACATACAAACAGACATACATACAGACAGGCCCACAAAGAGACACACACATACATACAAAGACACATACATACATAACAGACAGGCACACACACGACATACATACAAAGACACATAGGAGACAGGCACACATACATAGACACATACATAAAACAGACAGACTTACATCCAGACAGACACACAAGACATACATACAAACAGACAGGCACACATACATACATACATACATACAAACACACACACACATAATGTGTCACCCTCCTGTTTTCTAGCTTTTAGGTGCAGGAGGGTGACTTTCCCTGGGGTCCAGTAGTGACTCAGGTTGCTCAGTTCCTACTCTGACTCCCTGTTCTTTCTCCCGTGTGGGCTCTGTGTGTTAGCTGGAAGGAGTGACGTGCAGGTGCAGTCACTTGCTCTCAGCCGTGATGATCTCTTCACAGGGGGCCCAGTCGCGCTGTTAATGCGCCCAGCGCTGTCAGGGCCACCTGAAAATCCATCTCCATTGGGTGGCCCTGACAGCATGGGCCATCCGATGGGCACAGTAACATGCGGCCCCAGCAGTTTGCCGCGCGGGCCGGGGCCGCAAATGACTGCGGTATGTACACCAGTGGTCTTGACATAGGGGTTAATAACCATTTGTAACGAACGCTGGTATTGCAGATCCCCGTTCGTCTGTTTCCTCCCGAACTGCTAGAGGCTGAGTGGTTATAGCTCACAGTTCGGGTATTGATTTGAATGTTCTCCAGACGAAGTACAGCATCCAAGTATCTTTCCCCAGTAAATCAGACGGATACCCAAACATCAGCCTAAACTAGATGAAGGGTTTAACAGGAATGTTTTATTCAGGGCACAGTTTATATGCAGTTACAAATGTACAGGGTTTACATTGACACATTCCAGGGGCATTCCCCACGTGACCTGGGAGGGGACAGTGACAAAATACATTCTGCAGTTACATTGACTCTCAGGTCCAGGACGCTCCTACATACAAGAATACAATCCTTCCCCTGTACTGGGGAGATAATTGAGTAAAGCACTAGCTTTAGAAAAGTCTAAAAAACTAACAAATCCACAAATGGTTCCCCTGGCTCGTAGGTAGCGTTTGTTCCTCTAGTTGGTGGGAACAAACCTACGAATAGCGCTCTCCTGGCTGGTCGGTGAAAGTAAGCAGGTGTTCGCGAAGTTGACCGGCGTTAGGGAAGTCGAGTGTCCGATTTTAGTTCCCCTGCCTCTTTTCGTGCGAACAAAATGGCCACCGTTTTCTCCTGCACGTGGCGTTCGACTATACAAACGCCAGCCACACAGAGAGAGCACTTAACTTACGGTCTGCTTTGCAGTTAGTGAGCCCGGGGGTGGTCGGAGTTTGATAGTTTTATCTACCAAACAAGGTAAATTAAAGGTAATGAAACAAAAAGGTGTAGTTACTTCACACCATTGCCTAGAACCCTTGATCACACTCATGAGTCACCAATTCAGCATCTTTTTCAACATGAAGGCCGAATGTCAAACAATTAAACAATTGAGATAATGATAATGCATGGCTCTCTAATTTAGTATTGGCTCCCTCAATAGTTTTAAGGAGCGATCTACTAAACATCTAAAAGATAAAAATAAACCTTGTGAACATTTTGCTCTTTCGGTTGTTTAGTAGATAATACACTTTGCTCTCCTTATTTGTGTTTGTAATATTTAACAATAGCAAATAAGTTAACTTTCTGCTAAACAGCACCCTAATTTTTTTTTTTTTTTAAATGATCTTTATTGAAAGGTTTTTCCGTTATTTTTTTTTTCCATAAAAGACGATACAAAACGACAGTTACATACACATGGTAAAAGACATTACTCCCATTTAAGAAATACATCCATAAAATTTTCTTTGTACATTTCACTTAACCAAAGACAAACCAATACATTTAACTTACATATCTACATAAACAAAACAATGCAGCAAAAGAGAAAGGAGAAAACACATATCGAGTAAGGATTTATATCTTATATCTTATTTTGTCCAGAGTATGACAAATCGAACACAGTTTCCCTTTAGATTTGTAAAGAAGTTAAATTCAATAAGCCTTTTATTTGTTGAAAGCTCTATTTGTTGATCCTCTCCCAGCATTTCGTCCAAACAGTAATTTTTTTACTTAATTTTTGTTTGCTCAACAACAATTCCATTTTAATCTGAAACTTAAGCTGGGCTCTAACTTGTTCCCAAGGAATGTCCCTATCATTTTCCCAACCTCTCACAATCACAATTTTGGCGGCTAAAAAAAGATGAGTAAGAATAATTTTCGACTCATACGTCATTACCGGCCAATTAAGATGGAGCAGGACGACCTCTGGAGAGAGCCTCAACTCAAGATCCAGATCTACAAACACAAATCTATGGATATTAGACCACATAATTGTTTAATTTACTGCATTCCCACCAGATATGCATAAAAGTACCTGTTACTATACCACATCTCCAACATAAATGGTTTATTGTGGGGTACATTTTATTAATTTTATTCAATTTATCTGGTACTAAGTACCATCTATTTAGAACCTTAAAATGGATTTCTAATAGATTTAATGAGTGTATATTTTTCAAAACAGCACCCTAATTTGGCATACTTAAATATGGCAATCTCACATAAGGGAAACAATTTAAGACGTCATCTACTAAACAGCTGAGTGATCAAAAGTAAAAACAAGTCCTTTTCTTAATTTTTATCTTTCAGCTGTTTAGTAAATAATATCCTAATTTGGTATCCCTATGTGAATTTGCCATAAATATACCAAATTGAAGAGATATCTAATTTTAAAAAAATACACTTTCACACACACATTCAGTTTTTTTTTTTATTTCGAAGTCCATCTACCTGTGTCTGGGAGAGCTGGAGTGAATTGTGGGACTGTTCTCTTCCTGCATAGCTTTTATCCTCGTATTGATGCCAATGCCAGTATGACGTCCTATATTGATACCTTAGAGAGAGTTCAGAGAAGGGCTATTAAACTGGTTCATGGATTGCAGGATAAAACTTACCAGGAAAGGTTAAAGGATCTTAACATGCATAGCTTGGAGGAAAGACGAGACGGGGGGATATGATAGAAACATTTAAATACATAAAGGGAATCAACACAGTAAAGGAGGAGACTATATTTAAAAGAAGGAAAACTACCACAACAAGAGGACATAGTCTTAAATTAGAGGGACAAAGGTTTAAAAATAATATCAGGAAGTATTACTTTACTGAGAGGGTAGTGGATGCATGGAATAGCCTTCCAGCTGAAGTGGTAGAGGTTAACACAGTAAAGGAGTTTAAGCATGCGTGGGATAGGCATAAGGCTATCCTAACTATAAGATAAGGCCAGGGACTAATGAAAGTATTTAGAAAATATGGCAGACTAGATGGGCCGAATGGTTCTTACCTGCCGTCACATTCTATGTTTCTATCCCAGCTGCCAGTACACTAGACCGTGTGCAAGGGAGCAGTACAGGAGCAGCATGAAAAATACAGAGCGCCTTTGCCGCCAAACACCCCTCTGTATTTTTGGGCAGAGTAGACACCGACAGTGCTGGTTGCCACTATTCTCTAATATTAATTTCTCTCAATTATTCTTTAACCGTTAGTTAATGCTTATTGATTCTTAATAGACTTGATTCATTTATAGACCCAAACTGGTGAGACTTTGAAATGTTCTTCAAGGGACTACTATGGCTCAAAATGCATGAAGGAGTACTTGTTCTGAATTTAACCCTTCTCTATTTTTGTTTTTCTACATTACTGGGCATTTGTGTCCTTCGCTTGATCATTTTATTATATTTTTCTCAATAAATTACTTTTGTTTTTATTCAAGACACAAAGGTACATTTCGGAAGCCTACTTTACATCTATGCCAACTTTTTCTATTTCAGAAAGTTTATTCCAAAACTTTATTCCAAAATGTTGACTCTTTATTGGGTCTATTAGGTCCGTAATTGTATTTAAATATTTATGTATGACATAAAGAAGTTTCAATATTAAAATTAATTTCTAAATACATGACAGATCTAATTTATTGACTTTTTCACTAACTTTTGTTAGCATGAACATTTGGTATCACAATGTCCTAATTCACGATACCCCCTAACATTGTAAACACTGTTAATTCCAATATTCCCTTTTGACTTAAGGGAAACAGCAGTGGAAAGTTCTAAAATAGATTTTGTACTGCTCCAAAAATAGACTGCCACAGAGAGAGCTTTTCACCCTGAGTGCTACTACAATGGAGGCTAGTTCCATTCTCCTTGCTTTCAGTAACATTTATGTAACAATATTTGCATTGTTTTGTTTCAAACTTTTAATTAAGGTGTCCCTGGCTCTTCTGACTCATTTTTACATCGTTAGAGGAAACAGGAAAGAGGCTGCAAGAATAGCAGAGGAGATCTATGGAATAGTCCAAGGTAATATATACAAAAAAAGTGTTGTTTTTTTTTCTTTATTTACTCCGCTAATTGTGAATTATACCATATTGCAGATAGGCAAAGTGGAAAACCATGTACATTTTGCTTGGAAACAGAATATTCTTTAAAAGTCTGCAAAGCTCTTTTGTGTGTATTCTTGAACTTTTTATAGTAAATGCTGAATATTTGTTCACCTGTCTTGAAATCCCTGACCTTCTTCTCACTTCTTCTGAGGCGAACAAGAAGGATACATCATTAAAGGTCTGGAATTCCTTAATAAGCTAGAATAATAAATGGGAATTTTCTAAACATTTGAGATGTGCAATAAAATCACTATGGTATTTTTCTCCCAGATTTGTCAACTCACAACATATTTTCTTTTCAGACCACAAATATTAACTAAATAGAAACACAGGTTTTAGTGGTTAGGATGGGGCATGGGAATTTTATGTACAGTTCAAGTCAAGACGGAAGCCTTCGTTTTGTGACAATTTGAAAGGTGACAAGTTGCCTCTAGGATCAAGACTTGCTCAGTTACATTGTTTCCTGATTACGGATGTGACTGTGTCTACCTTCTCAATAGGACCCTTTGGGTCCAACTAGCTAATAATATTTAGAAAGCACTCCCAGAAACGGCAAAATAATAATTAGAATACTAATAAACAGTATTATACCTATCTTGACCCCAACCCCCATATTTCTACAGTACAGTCCATCTTAATACCAGAATACCGCATTCTTTTTTTGAGAATGATCACCCTTTCTCCTGCAATACAGCTGTGGAATAAAGAATGTGTCAATTAAAAGGAACACTAGCGTTAGACATATGAAGCTGTATTCCTAGTGTTCTAGTGTCACTCTGCCTCCGCGTCCCCCTTCACCCCCATGTTGAAATGGTTAAAAATTTGTTTTTCATTAACCTGTTTACGTCTCCCCCTCCAATGACGTCACACTGATGTGGGATACTAATGCGCATGCACGGCGTGCATTAGACCTTCTCTATAGGAACTGTAATGTTTTATATTGCAGGATTAAGGAGACAGGAATACTGCACCCAGACCATTTCAATGAGATAATGTGATCTAAATACCTTATAACTTCCAAAAAAAACAACAACCCACTGTTTAGTAGATATACCCTCAATGAATACATGTATATCAGAGGCTTCTCGTTGAAAATATGGCCCCCACGCGCACACACGCCAGCTACTGCACGTGCATGCACAATGTTGTGTGAATGCGCGCTAAACTCCATAGGCCGCAATTGCCCGTAGCACCTGCCTTGCAAACCATTCTCATTAAGCTGCATTGGGAAGTATGCAATTAGAAGGGGGAGGCCCTGCAGCTTGCAAGATGTTTTTAGATAAAAAATCATTTAACAATTAATCATGAATGTTTTAATTGGGGGTATATCTTCTAATTAGTATTTTCTTGCATTTGGGCTGTGGAGTGTCCCTTTTACTCTCTAATATTTACCCATGCTTGAGTGTGTATAACTTGGTTTGTAAAATATACGTTATCCATAAATTATGGATATATTATGGAGAGCTACAAATGACGGAAATTCAGAAGTGAACATATGTTATTTTATTTTGTTTATTGTTTTTCAAAAAAGAAAAATATAAGGGATACAGAGAGGAAAAGTAAGTTATGCAAAATAAAAATAAAAGTGAAGGATAAATTCATTGAAACTGAGTATTTACTTAGAAGAGCACTATATTGGTTATAGTGCCAGAGGTACTCTGGTACCCTCTTATTTTAAAGTAGTTAAAGGATCACTATAGGGTCAGGAACACAAACATGTATTCCTGATCCTATAGTGTGAACACCACCATCTAGCCCCACTGTGCCCCTCATGCCTCCATAAATATAGCAAAATCTTACTGTATTCAAGCCAGAAGCTGTAACTCTGCATGCTGTTAGACTCAGAAAAACAAGCAGTCTGCTGACATCATCAGAAGTGGTAGCCTGATACAATCACAATGCTTCCCCATAGGATTGGCTGAGACTGACAAAGAGGCAGATCAGGGGCAGAGCCAGCATGATTCAAACACAGCCCTGGCCAATCAGCATCTCCTCATAGAGATGAACTGAATCAATGAATCTCTATGAGGAAAGTGCAGTGTCTGCATGCAAAGGGAGGAGATACTGAATGTTTGGATGCATTTCAGGCAGCCATGACGCAGGAAGGATCTCTAACAGCTATCTGTGGAGTGGCCACTGAAAAGATAGTGCTTACAGCAAAAAGCCTGAAGGTAATGATTCTACTCACCAGAACAAATTCAATAAGCTATAGTTGTTCTGGTAACTATAGTGTCCCTTTAAATCACTTTTAAACATTTTACCAGGGCCCACCTCCATTGCCAGAGGCTAGAGGTCCCTCAGCAGGAATTTCTGTTACTATAACATGTTGTTATTCAAAAAAATTTAAAATTAGTGCATTGCATTCCACTCTCATGAGCCATAAACATTGAGATAAGAGTGCTTCTAGGGGCCTCCTGGCACCATAACACCTTAATTTTGATTAAGTTTTTTTGGTGCCTGGAGTGTCCCTTTAAGTATGAGAAACTCCAGAAAATGTCTTACAACAGTGTTTCTGACGACAGAAAATCCTCTGATCTATCAGTTGTCCACAGAGTACCTCAGTTACATCAGTCAAAATGCACACTTTATTACTCAAAAATGTTCATTCATAAATAGTTATCTTAGTTTAAAAAAATTAAAAAGTTCCCCCTGTAAGTAATACTGAGTTTGGTGTAGAATTGAATACACAGAAGTGCTGCGACCTGATACATTGCTGCTGTGTGGCAGCTACTGACCCAAGTCAGTCATGTGATAAGCTATAAGCAGCTGCACTAGAAGCGACACAAAGTCGGAACATACAGCTCTAGCTCGCTGTGTGAACGTACAGATCTCTAAACGAAATCAGCTGGCTGGAATTACATCCTTACCGTGGCAATTAAGAAATGCTCTGTATGGTAATCATATCTGCCATACATTTCAGGGAGGTATGTTACTTGAATGTAATGTTTCCTGATGTCAGTGTCAAAACAATGTGCCTGCTCAGAATTCTATTACCTGACAAATGTAGCATGTTGTTCTGCGCACATATATCTATGAAATGCCGTATGGAGCATTAAAAAAAGTGCTGCCATACAGTATGATATAGAATGGAAAATTAATTTGTTTAGAGAGGGTTTATACACTAGACAGTGAATCGAAAGTAAAATTGATGAAATTCAAATTGATATTAAAGTGGCTATGTCATCTCAAATGTATCTTTCTATTGTTTCTTCTTCTTTTTTCTTTCAGGATCTGTTCTTCTGAAATTTCTTTCTTTAAAACAGAGAAAATGCAGTGCTTACATTGATGCCTAGGGACACCTCCAGTGGCAGTTACACAGAAGGCCACTAGAGGTGCTTCCTGGGTTAGTGCTGCACAACATGACTGACGTCTGCATGGTGACACTAAACTTTCCCCATAGAGATGCATTGATTCAATGCATATCTATGAGGAGATGTTGATTGGCCAGGGTGGCATTTGGCTCCATCTCTGCTTTTTCTATGGGAAAGGATTGGATTGGGGGCAATTCTGATGATATTAGCCAAGAAGGCAGATTGGGGGCAGGGCCAACACTATTATAAAGGGGAGTTTTATTACTTTTTAAGGGGGACAAGCCACCTAAATGGTGATTTAAAAAAAAAAATTCTTTATTTCTGTTGTGCTTTGAATTACAAACATGCTTATACTGCCACGATAGCTGGTACAAGCCAATGGAATAATACAAGATAAACAGTAGCATGGCAAGCGTTAACAGCACAAATTTTATAGGTCAGGTTAGGTAGAACTGGCTATAACCTTCATTTCAACCAGGCTAATAGTTGTAAAGAGTAAGATAGACAAACAGGTTAAGAAAGATCTGAAACATTCCAAGACTAATCATGGTTTAAGCCTATGAGGTTAGCTGAGCTTCTGGGGCTGATTGTGTGATTGTAGGTATGGTGTCAATGCCTGTTGCCCTGTGCCCTTAGTGTAGCAAGTGAAGTTATCAGGGGGTTAAGTGGCATAATAGCAAGAGGTATGATGAGGCATTGCTATGTTACATGCTTTGGAGTTGCGTGCGTGTATAAAGAGGTTTATACATGAGGGTTTCCAGGCAGGCGGGCTTTGCCTCGGTAAGTGAGTGGATGACAGGCTGTCTGAGAGCGTTAGTAGTGTGAGTAGTAAGGCATTGCCCATGTGGGAAACGCATATAATGAGATTGCTAACTAAATAAAAATGTTCATAACAGTGGGTTTCTTTGTAAAGTTCTGCGTTGCCTTTGTATCTCTGTTGAGGAGGTTGCCTTGCGGCATGGATAGCGCCCATTGCAGAAGAGGTTTTGAGTATGGACTTCTGTGAGTCCCAACTTGTGAGTTCACTTTTAACCTATGCCCAGCGCAGGGAGAGGTGTCAGAGGTGTTTGGCAGTCCTGCTGGGGGGTTGTTGGGTACAGCGTCACTGGTTCCAGCAGTCGGTTCGCCAGCCCGTCGTTGTGGAGGTCTGCTTTATTGGCTTTATTGGGGCTTTCCGCAGTGTCAGGTAAGTACGGAGCTGTGAGGGTAGCTTGCTAGTGTGTGGTCGCTTTATGGGTCTCTGCTTTAGCCCGGTGCTTTGAGAGGCTTGTGGGCCACCTCTGGTTGGGATTTGTATGTGGTGCAGTCTTACCTGTTTGAGCGCGAGCTGGAGGGGTCTCCTTCTCCGGCGCCATTTTGTGGGTCCCCTCAGGCGTCTGCAGTGGGGACTTGCGAGTTCTCCGGCGGGTATGTGCGCTGGTGCCTTGGCTTGTCATTCTATGCTGCCCAATTTCGTCCAGAAGGCGTTGAGTAGGGCATCGAGCTTGGTTAAGGTTTGGTGCCTGTCTGTTTGGCAGTTGTGGATACATGTGGCGTCAGCCATCTTGCAGGCCCGTGTAGCAGAGGGCTGCCTGTGCGGTCCCTTTATCAGCGCTCGTCTTGGCCCTGCTGCCTGGAGAGTTTGGACCGGGATTACCCCCACCGGTCCTGAGGGGGTGGAACGGGTAGCTGGTGGCTTGGTGTCTCCGACGTAGGGGCGAGGAGAGCGGCCGTCTCCCCCCAGCTCCATCCACCGTAGACTACCGCCTGCTGCCTTGGTTACAAGGTTGTGCGATGCACTCAAGTTTGGTATCAGGTGATTCACCCGGTGGCCCCCCACATGGGTAGCGTATCCCGGTGTCATTACAGGCTTGTAAACGGTGAGTTTTTCCCTTTGAAGCAGTTTGTTTGGTGGGAGCTTCTCCATCATGCGGCTGCTCCATTTGCAGGTCAGGCCCCGCCCCACCTAAATGGTGATTTTAACACTATAGCATCAGGAATACACATTTGTGTTCATGACCCTTTAGTGTTCCTTTAAGAAGACACTCTAAGCACCAAAAACAACCATTAACAGAGCAGGAGATAACTACTTTTAAAATAAACACACTGTGCTGTAAAAATTAAATATTTTTTTTCTATGGTGGCTGTGTATGTCTCAGCGAGTGGAGGTGTGGCTAGTGCTGTATAAACAGAACAAAAAAGGGAATTAACTCTTAAATGACTGAGAACTGAGCAGTGAGACTGTATGAGGCATGATCTATACACCAATACTGCTTTGTTAAGCTGAAGTTGTTTTGGTGCTTAGAGAGTACTTCTTAAGTTATAAATATATAAGCAATGTTGAACCATTCATAAATGAACACATTTACAACAAATGTCCTGCAATAGGTTAGGTGGACTACTAGTAATCAACGTTTTAGTGAATTAGATTTTATGTTTTATTATTGCAATTTGGGACACATTAATTTTGAATATTTAGGACACTTTAATATTGAAATGCACATTTTACTTGGATGTCAATGTCTACATTTTCCTTTGTACGTTCAGTTACAAATTCTCAATAAGCTGGTGACCTTTAAGATATGTTCTCACTACCAAGAATATTGTGTCTTTAATGTTCACAAGATCTGTCACATCTTTACAAAATGATATGCTTAAAGATTTATGGAACCCAACAGGCAAAGCTAAAAGTGACCCTGAACTATTGTTGCATTTATACAACGTTGAGGAATGTTTAGATTTTTTACTTCTGTTAGTGTTTGTAATATTGCTACATGTTATGGGAACAAAGATATGTTTTGTATTCTTCAAATTTCTCACACCGAGTATCAGTAAATGTTTCCAGATGAATGCTGTGCTAACAAAATATTTTAGGAACCATTCAAGTGATGGTACATGCAGTGCCAATTACAATCAATTCCTTTCAAAAGCCAAAACTCAGAATGAACCTGCTTCCTTTCAAGATACCCATGACCAGAATAATATAAGTGAAAACATTGTTTTTGTGCTACCCACTTTGTCTTGTGTTTTTAAATTCATTCTGCATTCCTATAGCACCAAGTACTCTCCCTCTGCAAACAAACATACTTCATTAACCTCATCACCACCTTCTCCCATGATTCCAAGCACATCTTCCATACCATAAATATATGCCATGTCACTCAAACACCAACAAAATTCAGCTTTTGAGTCTGCAGCCTGGTAAACTGGAAACATTAAAACTCTTAAAGGATCACTATAGTGTCCGGAAAACAAAGCGGTTTTCCTGACACTGTATTGCCCTGAGGGTGCCCCCAGCCTCAGGGTCCCCCTCCCGTGGTGCTGAAAGGGTTAAAACCCCTTCAGCAGCTTACTTTTTTCCAGAGCCGGGCTCCCTCGGCGCTGGTGACCTCTCCTCCCCCGCCGACGTCAGCTCCCTCTGCCGAGTCAGTGGAGTTGAATGTGCATGCGCGGCAAGTGCCGCGCGCGCATTCAAGCTGTCAATAGGAAAGCATTTTTCAATGCTTTCCTATGTACGCTCTGCGTGATGGAGGCATAATATGCCTCCAGTGTTTCAGATGCACCTCTAGTGGCTGTCCGGAAGACGGCCACTAGAGGCTGGCTTAACCCTGCAATGTACACATAGCCGTTTCTCTGAAACGGCTATGTTTGCATCTGCAGGGTTAAAGCCTGAGGGACCTGGAACCCAGACCACTTCATTGAGCTGAAGTGGTCTGGTTGACTATAGTGTCCCTTTAAGCTCCTGCCCTAATACTCAGCCTATTCCTCACAATGTGTCAATGGGTGTGAGTATATGTGAATGGACCATACAATTTACCCTTTAACTGAAGCCCCTGGACTTTTGGCCACCTATATCAGCTTATATCGGCATTTGTCTGATTGTTTTGACTTTATTCACTTCTTCTTTCATTAAAAAGTTACCGACTCCACAAATGTGGTCTTTGTCGAGACTATTGAATAGTGTATATAATTAACAGCAGCTGAAAGAAAGAAAGAAAATGCATGTGGATGTTTTCTCTTTGTGTAGTTCATTGTTCAATGTCTACCTTTACCTGTCCATTTTTAAAGACAATTGACCTTACCAATGCCTTTCATTCTGTTATCATTGTAAGCATGTATATCTGTTTGGTGTCATAATTTTATTATGTTTAGTTTTATTCATTATCCTGACAAAATTATCACCTTTCCTTTTAATTTAACTCGCTTATTGCAAGTTCTCTATCTTTATTTTTATTAGTACTTAAGTTTGAGTGTCACTAGCCCCCTCTTTCCTTCTATTTGAGGGAAAACACTAAAATTCACTGATGTATATTTTTAAATAAATATGACTGCAAATATTATTCGAGTTAAATGGACACTGTAACTACCTTGTCTTAGTGAAATATCATAACACTGAATGCAGGCACAGTACCAGAGGACTCCAAGCACAAGTTTGACACTAGATATGGTTTCCTGGCCACCTATAACCCCACCTTCATTTGAGGTATGATTCAGGCTGGATTACTCTTCCTTCTAGCCATACCAAGTCATACAAGCAGTAGGCATTGTGATTGGCTGAAAGCGATCACTTGACTCAACCAATCGCAGCCACCCATTGCTGCGCAAGCTTATGTTCCCTCATTACATCAAGCAGCACAGAGGGGATGGGCTAATGGGGACTCTCATATAGTATTAGAACATTAAAAAACTGATTGACGCTCAATGGAAGGAAGTTGCCGAACTACAGCCACTTCAATGAGATGACACAGTTACTGAGCCAACAGGGTCCGTTTTAATTTAATTCTATAGGAACATATGTTGTTTTCAGAACTGCTTGAAATTGAGTGTTTTATATTGTCATTTATGTATAGATTGATGTGTTATACTGATTAACTAATTTTTGAAAAATTTTTTTTATAGGATCTTGGGCAGATCGCTCACCACTTCATGAAGCAGCATATCATGGACGTCTCCTTGCTCTAAAAACTTTGATTGCACAGGTAAAATAAAGCTCCAAAGAATAGTATTTTATATTACTTTATATCAGTTTTACTCATGCAGAACAATTTGTATTCTAGAAATGTGGTACTACACACTGTTCGGTAAATGAGAAAATTATGTTCATGGGCCATATGTTAACATCATTGTGCTTATTACAATTTTAACATTTTTGCTACTGAGTTACTTGAACTCTTTACGTTTTGTGTGTTTTGTTTTATTACTATTTAAATGAAAGCTGTTTTTCCTATATTTTAGGGATTTAATGTAAACATATTGACGATAGACAGAGTTTCACCTCTCCACGAAGCCTGTTTAGGGGGCCATGTTTCCTGCGCAAAGGTTTTACTGGAGAACGGAGCACATGTGAGTCATTTTACCAAAATGTATACTCCTACACAAACTATTTCAGGTCAAAGAAGGGAATGCCAATTAATAATTACTGCAATGCAGCATAATCACCTAAACAAAAGACTTATGAGCATGCAGGCTACAAATCCTTCCTGTAACATGTACATCCCACACAAAATCCAGTTGCATAGGGTGTTTATTTGCAATAATTTACATAAGAAATTTTTTTTCGGAGCCCACTGGTAAATCTTCTTCATTTTGTTTTGGAATCAGAATTCTTCTAATCTCCAATTAATTCCATATGCATTGAAATGTTATGCATTTATTCTCTAAGAGACAGGTAAGTGGCTTGAACACCTAACCTTTCAATAGTTTGCCGTATGTAATAAGTAGCCCATCTGAGCCAAGTATCTTCTCAAAAGAGGTGGTCATTTTTGCCTCCATAATGTCCTCTTTGATAGGGCAATTAAGCATCTTTCCTTGGACATTTGTCAATGCAGTAAGGCCTACTTGTTGCAATAGGCATAGGGTTATAGGCACTCAAAAACCTCATGAAAGTAGTGGCTGTTTCTCTCTGTATGCAGTATGATCATGTTCTTGAGTCCTTACAGACCAAAATTATGAGTGCATGAGTTTTTAGGGTTTTTTTTACTTCAGAGGTAATAGAGTAGACTTACTGAGATTGATGTATGTGTAAAAGAAACATATTCAGAAAGAGCTTCGTGTCAATGTAGACGTCTTTGGTTACATTTTCTGCATTTGAAAAGTGAATCATGGAATTGAAAATGAAAAGCAAATCCTTCTTCTTGTCTTTGACCATGTAGGTTATAACCCATTAGAAGAGCTTTAGAGTACTTCCAAACAGCATAGGATTGTTAGTGTTCTACAGAGTGTCGTTCACATAGATGGGACATGCTGTTCTCACCATTGTAGCATTGTTCTGAACAACTCTTGTTGTATATAAAAAGCAGGAACCACTAAAATGTTTCTGTGTTGTTTTGATTTAGAATTGTTGTAGAGGTCTTCATGGAGAGTTCAAGTTCCTCTTCTGTCATTGGGGTTCCTAGTGTATAAAATGTTTGCACACGGTTTTGGCCAGCGATGTTGCAACAGCATTTAAATGGTGGGAAGGGTGCAGCAACATTATGTGATATTATGTAAGAGGCCACATGGTGTACCCTACTGGATGTGTCCAATATTTTGGCAATGTTGGATTTTAAACACTCCTTGAACAAAGAATATTTTTTGAAGCATTTGAAAGCTTTGTTGTAAATGGAATTTGTGTTTTGATACTATCCTCTGTAGGAATATTGGGTCTAAGATGGTTCTAATTTAGAGATTTGTTCCATAAGGGATTTGTGGCTGTGTATCTTGCTTTTTGTGCTATACTCTCTGTGAGAGAATGGAGCTTCCATCTTTCTATATCAGGTAATTTTGTTGAGAAGGATTGGTTAAATCTCCATGTCATAAGCAGGCTTGTAGATTGGAGAGGATATGGTCATGGTGATGGTTGCGTGGTAAAAGTAGGCACTTGCGTTATATCCTGACAAATTGGCCATTGTGTTAAACCCTGACAGATTGTAGGTGTGGTAAATGGTTATTTGGGAGGAAGTTGTTCCCCATCCGCAAATATTGAGTTAGGCACGGAGAAAAAATCTTTGTCCTTCCCACTGTTGTGAAGGGTCTCTCATCAGTCAACATGTCTATGTTCATGCAATAATTTCTTTATTGTGTGTAGGATATAAAAAGGAGGTTGCTGAGGTCCTTGAAGAATTATTTAGTCTAGGGTTCAAATAGATATTTAAGTCATCCTCAACTTTTAAAAGTTCCTTTTTATACATATGTAAGCTTACATAGTGGCAAAACTAGAACTTTACATTTAAAATTAGATGGAGTCATATGAGTTGTGCCGATGACTATGTAGGGCAAAGACAGTAAATTACAAATTTCATGTAATAGCATATCTAGACTATCTTTGAAGAGTAACTTCTTATGAACAACTCAAAATAGAGTGCATTCAAAGACTTAAATGCCATGTTATTTACTTTCCAGATTAATTTAGCGACAGTTGATGGAATTACCCCTCTGTACAATGCCTGCATCTGTGGAAGTGTTGCTTGTGTCACCATGTTATTAGAATACAGAGCAGATCCAGAACTGGAAACTCAGATGGTCTTTCCACTTCACGAAGCAGTTATTCGAGGTACAATATGTTCATTTAATTTCCTATATGTAGTGGTGTACACACAATACATGTGCCCCGGTGCGAAACTGATCCGTGGGCCCCTCCCCCCGATCCATCCCCACCCCCCAGACACATACATACAGACACAGACATACACAGAGGCACACATACATACATACAGACACATACATACAGATACAGACAGAGAGACAGACACATACACCCCCCAACAGACACACACATACATACGCACAGACAGACACACGCATACATACATACACAAACACACATAGTGTCCAGTAAGGGCTCAGCCTGATCTCTCTGACTCCCTCCTCCTTCCTCCCGCGCGGCTCTGTCAGATAGCTGGGAGGAGTGACCGGGGCAGTCACTTCCTCCCAGCTCTGTCTGATATCATCACAGGGTGCCAGGTCGCGCTGTTAACCGGTGCCCCCAGAAAATCCATCTCCATCACGTGGCCCTGACAGCATGGGCCACCCGACGGACCCCTTCAAGTGCGGCCCCGGTGGTTTGCCGGCAGCGGGTACCTGGTCGCAGGGGTCCACAGGGCAGCCGGGCCCCCTGGAGTGATGGGCCCGGTCGCAGCTGCGACCCCTGCGACCGCGGTATGTACGCCAGTGCCTATAATGCAGGTAGCTGAACATTCTTTTTGATTCATATACAGTCTGCATATTTTTTTTCTTTCTTTTTTTTTTTTCCATAAAGAAGGATAATATTAAAAGTTTATGTGGATACCACTTGTCAGATATAGTTTGGTTGTTTCCTGCAGATCTCTAATATTTTTTACTCTGATTTTGATGGGGACATCAGAACCTGAATTTGGAGAAGAATGAGTAGCATTTTAAGTCAGAACTTTTTGAGATTTTGTGGAACCTTACATCTTTTCTAATTCCATATGCATACACACAAACAACATTCTTCTATAAAGGTGCATACCTGGAGCATCATGGCATGTTGACGTCATATTGATCACAATAGTGCTATGAAGGTAAATGCATTTTGTTTATTTACCTCCAAGTAAGCACTTCAATAGCATTTACAGATGTTAATGTATGAGGAAATGTTCTTCTTTAACAGATAGCAATATCAGCTCTCAATATTTCCACCCACCCCCATGCAAAGGTGGGAAATGAGCAAGAGAAATTTTGAGGGGGTAAAAACATCCATGCATTGTTGATTTGCTGGGTGTACGGAAGACAGTTTGGGTTCTGGAATTTCTTATCCACTCATAGCACATCTAAGAGGAGCTGTACTTCCACAACAGAGCTCCTGGTGGCTTGAAGTATAGTGACGTGTGATGACCACAGAGCAAGCCATGATACAGCTGTGATAGAATTGGGTTAAGTCCTGCTCTCTGCAGCTACCTTGAGGTGCCTTCACCAAGTAAGCCAGCAGGTAGGGAACCCAAGAAATTGTAAAAAAAAAAAAACTATTAAAAAGGAAAGGAAATGGGCATGGGGGAGAGAATGGGCCACTGACCGGGACATAATGGTACATGGGGGAGAGAAGACAGAAAGGGGGATATGTGTGAGGAGGAGAAAGGGCCATTGAAGGGGAGAGGAAGTGTCATGACGAGTATTGACTTTGATGACAAGAGTCATGTGTGAAGTGGGGTGACATTACATGGATAATGGAGGAAGGGACAAGGGAAGAGGTGACATGGATGAGAAGAGGATGAGGTATGGGGGAAAATGGGAAGTCGAAGACATGGATAAGGAGAAAGGGGGTGCTGGGATAGATGAGAAGTCAAAGGGGCCTAGAGACATCTGTAGACATGTGACCTGCAGAAAGAGACTATGTTTGTGTCTACCTTATACTGGAAGTTCCTCATTATGAAACTTGTTTTTTTTTTCCTCTGTCCCAGGTCACAGAGAATGTGCAGAAGTATTAATTGCTTATGGAATGGATATCAATAAAGAAGTTTATAATCTTGGCACTCCACTATACTTAGCATGTGTCCACCAGAGAACAGACTGTGCCAAAAAACTTCTCGAATTAGGTAATAGTGTAACCCTATTTCCATCAGTTAAAAATAATAACCAGCTGATACTGAAATCAAGTTATCCTCATTTTGTGTGCTGTGCACATGGATGAATATTATTGAATAGGGATTTTTAGATCACAAAATAAAACAAGACTGCCACCAGAATAGAATATTCAGGCTCACAGTTATATTTTATTATAATTGTCAAGAATTCCAACTCAATTAAAAATGAATTTCAAATTTTTAGTCGAAATAGCCAAAGTACTTGGAGAGTTTTACTACTCTACAATAGTGACATAAAATTAAAAATTCACTTACATTTTGTTAAAATTAATTGAGACTTAAAATGTGTTTGTTTACGAATCCTTAGTAAAATCTCAATCAACTATAGTTATGAAAAAAACAATCAACCATTTGGTAGTAAAATTTCAGCACATTTATCTATTTTCTCTTTGTGTTAGGTGCAAACGTGAACATCGGGAAGCAGCGTGACACACCTTTACATGCTGCAGCTAGGAAAACCAGTGGAGAAATCGTGAAACTTTTAATTGATTATGGTGCTAATGTTAAGTCTAAAAACGCAGACGGGAAGTATCCAGTTGAACTTGCAGAACCCCGAAGTCTGATAGAACAAACTCTTTTATTTGGAGAAGGTATGAATATTTGATATCAGATTTGTCTAAATATGACAATCCAGCTTTTCTTGAACTACCGTTCTCAGAATTATCTAACAGCTATACATATAAGAGCAATCATTTTTAACTTGTTTAGTTAACATGTTTTTCATGTCCATTTAATTGACTCAAGTCAATCAAGTTCAACCTTTGTACGCATCTCTATCCCTGTATCTGCTATTGATCCATAAGATTGGGTAAAACATTTTTTTTAAATGTGACTCGAAAAAGGAAAAAATCTTCCTTGATTTTTAAAGTCATCCTTTTTTCTTGGATCAACATTCCATAAAATGCCCATATTAACTATTATAGCATGATTATACTGTTTTGCGAAAAAAATAATGTCGACATCTAGTGAATTTCATACAAATGCTTTAGGAATAGAATTCAAGATCTTTAATTTTCTCTATTTATTCTACATGCTGGCTTTGGCATGTAGTTGGCAAATGTTGCAAGTACTAATTTTCTTTTACAATTATTAAAGCCTCAGTTATGCCTTTTTTTGTCAGAGATATTTGCGGAAATATTATATGTTTTAATTATAATTTCTATTTCTAGGACCAGCTGCCCTGTCCCAACTTTGTCGTCTTTGCATCCGAAAATGGTTGGGATCATCTTGTCCTAAGACCGTGCCCAGGCTACATTTACCAGACCGATTAGAACAATTTCTATTATATCGGTAGAGCTTCCAAAAATATCTTCCTTGTTGAGTGGAATGTTTTATTGGTTGTCCTGTGGGTTGGAATATCTGAAATTCTACAAGTGCTTCAGTCATGTGAACAATAATTTTAAAAGAAAGACACAGTATAGAAAATGCTTTATTTACTTAAATGGAAGTTGTGCTGAATTGACAGACAAATTGCGATGTAGAGGCTAATGTAGCACAAATGAAATAATTCTACAGCTTTACTATATTTTAAATGTTTCTATTTTAGCCTATATTTTGCGATTTATTTTTTTTCATGTTATTTTACTACAATTTGATAATCTAATACATTAACAGGGTTATTTACTGAACTGAGAATTGTCAGAAATGTAAAGTGATTTCAAAGTGATTCCACAAAATAAACAAATTGGAAAAATTCCTCAAGTCAGCTAAACTGCCAGTTCGGCTGCTTTGTCCTTAAAGGGACACTCCACTGCCCTAATAAAATAATATATAAACAATCACTGTTTAGTAGGTATACCCTATTTATTCATGCATTTTATTGCAGGTATATCTAAGCCAGCTTGTAAAAGCTGCAGATCTCTTGCCTGTAGCCTTTTCAAGCTCTCCCCTTCTAACCATGACTTTCTGTGTCTGTCCAATCACAGACTTCCCAAGGCAGCTCAATGAGAAGTCTTTGCAAAGAAGGTGCTCTAGCAATTGCTGCTTCTTGAGTTTAGCCCCACTGAGCTAACCGAACCAGGAAGTAGCAGGACCTGCTGTCTGACTGACAGCCAGGGGGTTCTACCAGGTTAATTTATAAAAGTGCCAATTTCTATTGAAATCTACTCTCCTTGTAAAATTATAAAAAGAGGACACACTCTTCACACATAGAGCATTTCGGCAAGCTAAAGTGCTTTATGGGTCTGGAGTGTACCTTTAAATGTGAAATTCACTTTGAATTCCTGACAATTTTTATTTTAGTAAATAATATGCATAGCTCATATGTAAACCATATTTATATTTATCAGAAATCTATCCTGTCTGATTTCTAAAATCACTTACTGTAATTCCTATAGTAGATGATACTGCAAACGAGAAGATCCATAAGAAATCAATTCTCTGAAAGAATGAGGGGGGGGGGGGAGCGGTTATTTAATAATTTAAATTGATTATTGTGAGGGAATATGTGTATTACAAATTGTGTATGTAAACAAAGTGGAATTTATTGTAAAATACAGCCATGTTGTAAAATTAGCCTTGTCAAAATTGCATTTTGATCCATTTTGGCATCATGATGGATTCTCAATATTTTATTGGCCAAATAGTTTGTTTTTTGGTCTAATGTGGTGGTGATGATGGTATGCGCATAGATGCTATTTCATTAAAATTAGTGATAATTTTAGTGCCATTTTGAGCTTTAAAATTGCTGAATAATTATTGCAAGAACAAAACTTTTGAGGATCTCACATTCTATAGAGGCAAAAGTGCCATGCCAAAGGAGAGAAATGCTATATTCAAACGTGTGGTCTCACTGGACCAGAGACTCAACAACTGCTCAAGGTAACTTAGGAGGTAGATACTACAGGTTTTTATTGAGATATTGGACTGCCTAAATTCCTTTCAGTACGTTTTATGGTGGACAATGTCATAAATCCACCTGGCTAAGTGACTGATACCCTAAGCATTCTTGCACAAAATATTAATTTTTTTTTGGCTTTTATTATTGTATGTTTTTTATCTGAATTTCAACATTTGTTATATTAAAGTGTTTCAATCTGCACAATTATGTTTTTCTGTTTTCATGTGCTGCTTATTGAAATACAAAAATTATAACTGAATATACAAATCGATCTTAGATTTTTCACAAAGGTTTTACATTATTAACCAGTGCCCCACATATCTATATGCCAAGGTGTACACAGGTTTGCTCAAGATGTGTATTAGAATGGGAAACTATGAATACCAATTTTGGCCAATCTTTTAGTCAATTAATGTTGTCCGGGTTACATGAAACTGACATTGATGTTACAGTGTTAATTCCGCGTTATCAGTGCACCTAATGTGGACGAGTTCCCTGGGCACCTGGAAGAGTCTGGGTTTATATCTGACTATTCACAAACTTTGATATTAAACTAGAGATTGGCCGCAGCGCACAGAGAGCTACAGAGACCATTAGACTTGTACATGGTGAAAATATATGGCACGGCTGAATCAACTGGAATACACAAGGATACTCACTGCAAGCCTTACACTCTCAGGTACATACACGCCACACAATGCCAGACATGCACACGTAGGTTCCATTATACACTGCTAGACACACTGTGATTATGCATTGTGTGTCACTGTGAGTCTCTGTACATAAGTGTGTTTGTGTGTATCGAGTGTATATATGTGTATGTGTGTGCTTGCATTTGTGTGCTTCCAAATTGGCAACATGGGTGCAATGTGAGGGTAATATGGTATGGATAATGTCACAGTAATGTGTCAACATATACAATATACATTGGGAGGTGTGTGTGTGTGTGTGTGTGTGTGTGTGTATGTGTGTATATGTGTGTGTATATATATATATATATATATATATATATATATATATGTATGTATGTATGTGTGTGAAACCAGATACACAGAGTGAATGTTGGACAATGTATAGGTGAGACAATTATAGACTATTTGAGGGTTTTTAAAATGTATTTACAACTCTGTTTTCTTATCTGTAACCTAATTGGTAAATGTTTTTTTTATTTTTTATTTCTGTCCATAAAAATGTTCGTTTTTGTTTCTATCAATTAATACAATATTTAGGCATACTGAAACGAAAAATACATTTAAAAATGTCTTTCCAGGACACCCAAAATACTCGGATTCTGGGGATGGGTTTTCTGCAAACTGCTTGGTGGTAATGAAGGGGTTAAAAGCGACTGGGCAACAATAGCTGCTCAGTAATGAGTGTATTATAACAGTGAACAGCCAGTGCACAAGATTCTATTCACAGTGTGGCGTGTGAGGGTTTGGGGGGTAATCAGCCTTCTTGCACACCACCCCCAAAAGTCCCGAGGCTATGGTCATAGATTTAATATTGGCACCAGAGAGTGCATTGGCGATAAGGGACCCATTTTGTGATTGGTTCCAGCTGTTGTTTTGATGGGATTATTGTTATTATTTCTAAATATTGGCTTGTGCTCAAACAAGATCCTCGGTTGAGATTTAGTTTATCGAGATGTCCACGTTATACCTTCAGAAGGGGAATTAATTTGAAAAATGTAGTAGTCCCATCCAAATTAACACAGAGAGATGAGAACCAGTATTACAGGTTCCAGGTGTATTTTTGCGACCATATGGTCTTAACAAGGAATTTTATTTTTTCAATTTAATATTTCCTATTCACCAATCACATCTTGTTTCATGCAATATTTGTTATATTGGATTGATTTTTGCAATGATGTTTGTAATTATGTCTACCCGCTTCTGAATATGACTGAATTCTAAGTGCTTCAGTCATGTGAACAATAATTTTAAAGGAAAGCTACAGTATAGAAAATGCTTTATTTACTTAATTGGAAGTTGTGCTGAATTGACAGACAAATTGCAATGTAGAGGCTAATGTAGCACATACACATAGTGTGTGTGCATGTGTGTGTGTATGTATATGTATGTATATGTATGTATATATATGTATAATTTTTTTTTTTAATTATGTTTTATAATAAATTGCATTTTATTTTTATTTGACATATTTAGTGTTGAGATTCTTGTGGTGAAGTTCCTATAAGAATGAATTGGGATGCCCTGCTTTTGAGGAAAACCTGTTCCTTAAAAAATAAATTGGGAAACTTTTTATTTTTTTTATTTTTTTTAACCTATCCCCTGATTTGGGTTGCGTGGTGTATCACCAAATTGATATATATTACACAAGGTTCGTCTACATTAAAAGGTATTTATTTGAAGGCAACAACACAATACTATTAATTTATCACAAACACAGAGCAACAACCAGGGCTGGACTGGGAACTAAAACCAGCCCTGGAAATAAATTCTATACCAGCCCAATAAAGCGTCGCGCCAGCATAGTGTGCTGATAAAGAGGGTGAAAAATAACTTGAAATTGAAAACTCTTACTCCAACGAAGGACCGCATATAGGGCTTCAAAATAAACAAAAGAGTGCCTTTATTTTAAGTAGACGTACATTTGCATGTAATCAATGTTTCAGTACAACTACTTTGGCCTATTAAGGACATTTTAGTAATGGTACTGAAATGCTGAATGTCTGCAGTTGCACAACTAAAAAAATGAAGTGAACTGGTTAATTTTGAAGTTCTATGGGTGCGCTCTTCACTTTGAATATGTTATTGTGCATGAGTATGCAACTAGCTACAAGACAAGGCCAATACGTGCTCATTATATATATATATATATATATATATATATATATATATATATATTTATTAATGACATTTATGTGTGTATTATGCATTTATAAATGTATATTACTATATGTGTAAATACTATAGGCATAATTATATATTACTAATACACACATCAATATACATGCATATATATATGTGTGCATTACTGTCTGGATTACATCAATTTACGTCTATTACCTTTACCTCGTTTAGTGTATCTTGTCTCCAATTGTCTCCTTTTTTACTCTTACAGCGACCCTTGTGCATCTTTTACTTCATCCCAGTCCCTGTTTCTTTTTACCCTTCTCCAGCCTCTGTATTTCACTTTCCCCCATCCCTTTTTGTGTTGTTCTTAGCCCCAGCCACTTTGTCTCTTTCTCCCCTTCCAAATCTCATCTGTGTGTCTCTTTCTAACTCCAGACTTTGTGTGCCCCCCATTACCCTCTATTTGTCCCCCCATTCCCCTCTATTTGTCCCCCCCATTACCCTCTATTGGTCTCCCTCCTTCCCCTCTATTTGTCTCCCCCCATTACCCTCTATTTGTCTTCCCCTCTATTTGTCTTTTCCCCTCCCTCCCTTTCCCCTCTATTGTCTCCCTCTCCCCTCTCTTCCCCTCTATTTGTCTCCCCCCATTACCTCTGGCTGGTTCCCCCCCATTACCTCTATTGGTCTCCCCCCTTCCCCTCTATTTGTCTCCCCCCCTTCTGTCCTTGTCACAGGAGGACTGAGGGAGGCGGCAGAGCTAGCTACTATGCTCCCTTGCGGTTCCCAGTATTCCCAGCATCTACACATCATAGATGATGTGTAGATGCTGGGAATTCTGGGAACCGCAAGGGAACGTGGTAGTTAGCTCCACCCCCTTCCTCAGTCCTCCTGTGCTGACAGCCGCACGGCTCTCAGTATCAGTGAGTGTGCTGCTGGATCGCTTAGGCGGCCGCCCGGCACACTCACTGATACTGACTGCTGTCAGCACGGGAGATGGGACCGCCGGCCGCAAGTTAAGTATAACCCCCTCAGAGTGTGCCGCCGGACCGGCCACCCGGCAGCACCGACATGCGGCCGCGATATTATTAAAGTATTAGGGAGCAGGGCTCCCTCTCTACATGCAGCCCCCCAGGTGCCGCGGCCCACCGGGAAATTTCCTGGTATCCCGGTGGGCTAGTCCGGCCCTGGCAACAACCCTTTTAAATCTCTCTTTATATATATATATATATATATATATATATATATATATATATATATATATATATATCTCAAAAAGGATAGGCGTGGGATTGCACCAAGGCAGTCTTTTACTGATTCATTGAAAGGGTGAGTGCCACTATACTTGTGTGTATATATGTATATATATATATATATATATATATATATATATATATATATATATATATATATATATATAATACACAAGATCCAGCGCACTCACCTATCCACTAAACAGCAACTTCAATGTTGAAAGCTTTTATTAGTTTTTTTAAAAACACCTAATCTAGGCAATAATAATGGGGGTTTAGTTTTAGTTTAGTTAAAAAAAATTATCAAATCTTTCAACATTGAAGTTGCTGTTTAGTGGATAGATGAGTGCGCTGGATCTTGTGTATTGTGTTATTTGGCCCCCAGTAGCACCCCATTTATGCATGTTCAGGTGAGTGCAGCCAACCCCCCCTTGTTTGATATATATATATATATATATATATATATATATATATATATATATATATATATATATAATCCCCTTCCCCACACGTTTGATCTCACCCACGGTTAGGCCTTCACATCTAGTAATGGCTTACTGCTGCAAGTTCAACATCACATCCACCAAGGAAGAAAATGATTAAAGGAAGCAACAGGCAGATTTCCTGCCTGGCAATATCTTATTTACCCTTAGTTGAGATGTTGTGTTTTACATCACATCCTGGTCATGCATCACTTGATTGTAATTGACATGCAATTGTGGGAGGGAAGGAAAGATTATTAACCCTCCTACCTAGACCTGTTTCTTTGTTTAGGGAGATCCTTAAAGGAAGACAAATTACCATGCAAGGAAGACATGTTACCACAGGCTGTATTAAAAAAGAACCAGTTTGACTACTTTGTATCAGCAGATCTTAACAGAGTTTCCAAGTGAAACAAAACACTTTGAGTAAGCTACTACAAACTGTACGATGTTGATCACATGTGAAGCAGACTTATTATCAATCTGTGGCTGCCTGTTCTATTGTGGGTACGAGCATCTATACTTTGAATACCCACAAACTGTGGATCCCTTGTAAGCTGAATGTATCCCTTATGTTGGAGAACCAGCTTTCACCTGGAGTATTATCAACCGCGGTTTTTCCAGATTGCTTAGACCAGGGGTAGACAACCTTCGGCATGCCAGATGTTTTGGACTTCACCTCCAATGATGCTTTCCCAGAATTATGACTGTAAGAACATTATCAGAGATATAGTCCACAACATCTGAGGGGCTGAAGGCTGCCTACTCCTGGCTTACCTAAATGCTTAGATTGCCTATACCAGACTAGACCTCTATACCAAGTATTTCTATACCTGGTAGCTTTCTACATTCACGCTCACTAGGACTTTAATGCATGAACTCTGTATGGTTTTACGTGCTTTCTCTCCTGTAATTTCATACTGCTCAAATTGCTTATCTCCATGATGTCACATCCTTTTAAGTATCCGTACATGCTTATAATAACTTGTCTAATAAATATTTTTATTTTATATATATTTATTTGTTTATATATTATATCCACAAAGTCACCTATATTTAGCGGGGTGACAGCCAGTATTGCTTATTTTAATAATTGATTATCATTACACACTATTTTGCTGTTTAATATATAAAAGGTAATAAGCCTACCTCATGCTAATGTTGGGCTCATTTTGACCCCCACTGGCTGTTTTGTTGTTGTTTGTTTTTTAACTATTGTTGATCCTAGTAGGCACACAGTCTAAAAAGAGCATTTATCAACAGCTTCTTGCTGTTTAAATTGTTAAGATCAATTAATCCCTTAAGGACACATGACATGTGTGACATGTCATGATTCCCTTTTATTCCAGAAGTTTGGTCCTTAAGGGGTTAAAGAGGTTTATGTCTTTGATATATGGCATTGATTCGCCAAATCCGATATTAACAATGCTAAGTGAATGTATACATTTTTTTATATTTTTCAAAATATATATTATTCATACTGATATTAATACACTTTACTTGTCATCCTAAGAACCGATGTTCAGACAAGGAAAGAGTCCATATTTTTAAATATTATTTTAAGAAAATACATTCATTTGCAAGCAGTTTTGATTTGGCAATATATAGGTTTTCTAGTGCATAGATTATTTCATAATCTTTATAGTATAGGGTAAAGTAGTGAGTACCATGCCAAATTCACTGTAAGTAAGATTTGTCAATTTTTGTTTATGTATGTAAGAGTATTTCGTTTTCACAGTTATTAACATGCAATCAGTTCCTCTTTAAGAAGGAAATGTAATCTTCCCTATTTTGCATTTTGATAGGTAATTCTGCAAACACTATTTAAATGTTTAGTAGAGGTAAAATCTCCACATCTCTGCTGCCTGGATGGATTTGTAAGTATTACTCTGATAATTAAATTGCCACTTTTAGTAATTTACCGAGTTGTTCTTGCAAGCCAGGTGCCCAGTGATGTCCCAGTTTTTAAGTGTTATGCATTGCAATGAATCATGGGTAAAGTAGCAAATTAGAATACATTATCATAAAATGCTGGTCACTGTTTTTACAGAAGACCATTGGAACACCAGAATGGCTTGTTACCTTGCTCTATGTAATTAAAATGTAGCAATTTAAAGGAACACTAACGCATTCGTAATGCAAACATGTATTCATAATGCTATAGTGCCCTATACCATAATAAGATCAGCGCCCCCACCCAATTGAAATAAAAATGGTAAAATAAATATAATGATCTTTTCTACAGTGCATAGACTTCCTGGGTGCTGGTGATAGTTCTACCTTTCACAACGTCATTCGGCAGACGTCACTTTGTCAGTGCTACTCATAGAGGAACATTGGGGGGTGTGATGCGCATGCATGCATCCAATCAAATGCTTCTTATTCAATCCTTTCTTCTGAGTTGCAAATGGTCACATGACCTAGTTTCCTTTGATCGTTTTAGAGCACACGCCCCTAGTGGCTGCCAGGAAGAAAGCCACAAGAGGTATGCTTAACCCTGCAATGGAAACATTGCAGTTTCTACAAAACAGCAATATTCTGCATTGCGGAGTTAAAGCTACAGGACCACGGTACCCACCCAGACCATTGGGATGTAGTGCTCTGGGTGCATTTAGTGGTCCTTTAAAAAAAAATTTTAAAAATAGAACAAAACCTATAACTTATTTTGTGTGCTTTATCCATTCGCACAAAAATATTATTAAAATGCTAAATACTTATTATACATAAAAGGCTTATATTCACTTTTAGCGCATTTCTTTGTAATTTAAAACTTACAGTTCATTGGTGACTCACAAAAATGTAGCTTTATATTTTATTTACATTTTTAAAATTATTTTTGATGTCGTAGCATTAGTTGTATAATTGAAGAGAATGCTGTGTTTGTTTGCATGACAGCTTTATATCCAATAAATCCACAGCTGGTTATTATTAGATATTGATAATGGACCTAGTATTCTTAAAGCAGAATGTTAGAATATGTGAGAGTTTGACAAATTTCAAATAATGAGTGTGCAATGAAATTACGTAAGTAACATCTAATTACATTTTAGAACATTAGCTTCAATTTGTCTTTATCTTCTACAGAGGAAGTGATGGGTAAAGGGGGAGGTTTTATCTTTCATTACATTTCTTAGTTTTTTTTGTTCTTTAAATTGGAGATAAGGAAGGTAAAAAAAATACTTTTTTTTTTCTAAATTTCATTAAAGAGGAACTATCACTTTTCTGCAAGTGACATAACCTCTTTAAACCAGATGATACAGTTACAGAGGTGAGGAGTGCAGGGGAGGCAAGTATAAAACACACTTACCTATGCAATTATTTTTTGTTCCAAGCATTAAAGGAACATAATTTTTTTCTGTACATTTATAAAAGTGTTGATTTTAACAAAAATAAAAGCTGGCTCAGACAGCCAGGTGGTTTCCTTCTGCTTCTTGGCTAGAGTGCACCTATCTTCACTCCTTGGAAATCCGCAATTGTGCGCGTGTGTGTACGCATGCACGCGCATTTGCAGCTCCAGCAAAGTCTGGCCAATTCCTCGGGACACAGATTGAAAGCAAGTCTGCAGTTTGTGATATCTCTTTTTCCTTATTTCCCCCAAAGAAGTATCCTGATTGGCGCCCATTTTCGTACCCTTTTTGGTTAGTTTAAATATTTCCCTGAATATATTTCAATAGAAGATATTAGACTGAACTATACCATCAAATGAACGTTGAACATCCCGGAAAAAAAAATAATTTCGGGAAAAATTATCTGGCCAAACAGTTGAAAAGAGATTTGCAAAATTTAGGCCAAAAGTTGTCAAAAAAACCTAACAGAAAAAATATTTTTTTCATCTAGATTAATCTAAATATTGCAAGTCAGCTCTCAACTTACCACAAAATAATGTTTATTGAACCTACGTTAGTCACTGTGAATTTGTGAAAATGAATTCTTAATGGCAGAACTGGTGTAAAAATAGCCAGGTTGTCACTATGGCTGAGTTGATTTTTTTTCAGATTGGTTATTTTAGCCTCAGTATTTCCACTCTAATTTAGTTCAGAATGTAGTGAAAACTCTGTTAAATGATCAGTGTGTGTGCATGCGCGGACATATAAACATGCACACTGTGTAATATATCGACGTCACAATAAAGGTCTCATTTCAGAACATGGTGACTCATTTCCTTATAATAATAATAATTTCCTTATACATGATAACATTTTAACCAGATTACTCTGGTTTTCAAGTACATCCTGGGGATGTTACCGTAGCCCAACGTCCAGGGGTGTTACTATTACCCAATTTAATGGTACTCATTTTATCTACATCAGAAGGATGAAGGGCTGAGTCAACCGTGCCAGGATTCAGACCTGCAAGCTACTGATTCTACTGATGATGCATTAGCCCACTGTGCTATCTCTCCAGCTGTATGTGATAAATGTGTGTTTAATATAAACAAAGAAATTAATATATTTATTTTCACCCACATTGATAAATCTACTAATAATCATTAAATCAATAAGAATAAATTAGGAATGATACTTTCTTGCAGTGCAAATATCAAATGATCAAATGGTTAGATTCAGAGCACTGGGAGTGCCTTTGGCAATGCCAATAATTTGAGCAGTATATCATTTGTAATCTGATTCAACCAATGAGAGTTGAAAAAGAGAAATAAAAGGACAATTAGACAACCAGATCGTTTGGTCAAGAGCTGAGCTCAGCATTCTTCTTGAATCCGTTTCTCAGTCACCTCAGGCATATTTCTTTTGGCTGTAGTTGCACAACAGGAATACTGCGTCTAATCCCTCTTTCTCTCTCTGTTTTTTTGGCACAGCAATTTTTCTTCTCTTTTTCTCTCCTGAAACAAAATATATAGCAGTGACTGTCTGAAGCTGATTGGACGTGATTTTTTGAAAGGATGTGAGAAGCACACCGAATTGCATTTGTACACAGTGTGTCTGTCATCCTGCTTTTTATCTGGATACGAAAAGTTTGTATTGTTGCTAAATTCAAGTACAAGTAGCACAGGTATTTTCCTGCACTTTCTCTCCTCCTCTCACGGAGCCACATGTGTCCCATTGGACTGCAATTACTTGGTTAATACGTCATTTATGTAACTAAGCATTTTTATTCTCGGTGGAATTTGATCTCTTACTGAAGGCATTGAGGAGGTATTTTGTATTTTTTTTTCATTTATTTAAGATGGATGCTGAGCAAGTGAATATAAGAAGCCGAGAGTCCCAAAATACCAGGCGTCATTTTCCTGATATGTGCATGTCAAATCCACTAATGGGGGGTGAGTACATTTTGTGGGTATTAATACTTACTGATTAAATGTATTCATTAATAAAATAATGAGAATGGAACATCAAAAGGAAATGTGAATCCAGTGTGTATATTTTACCTGCATTGTTTTTTTATTGTTTATATTTTCTAGTAACCGCATTGTTCTGTTGTTATGGTATAACAGGTGTTCTTTAATCTGACATCTGATTATGTTCCAGGAAGTGGAATTAAAGACAAAATAAAATAAGCAGAGCCTGATTTTAATATTGGATCACATTACATAAACAGGCCCGTGTTTTTGGTTTGCTGCCTGATACCAACTTTGTTTTAGAAATAAGCACAGACTTGATATTTAGATACTTTTAAAGGACACAGTGAATAGCACAAGATGAAGTTTTTTAATACATGGCAATATTAAAACAGTAAATCGTGGCATAAGATAGAGCAGCTGTGGCTAAAAAGTATAACCTAGTCTATTGTCGAACTACAGATACCATGATGCTTTGCCATCCTTGCATTCGCTGCAATTGTATTTTGTTTTCTCCGTGATATCCTGGCTGTTTGGCTCTGTTACAATCACATGCATCTTTTTGGAGATCTATTTTCAAAATTAGTACATGTGTAAAACTAAAAGAGCAACTGCAATTTTTAGGCCAAAATAGTTCATTGAGTTTGGCCTAAATAAAATGTTCTTTTCGCTTCTCAACAATTATCGCTTTAGTGAAAAAAATTAAATATTCCCAACTCATATATTTAAAGCAACTTTTCTGTATCTCTGGCCGTGTGAGAACATCATTAGAAGCAATGCTGTGCTTGACTAAACATGCCATATACATGAAATTCGCAAATTTACTTTTAACAAGTAGGGATCTAGTTACTACAAAATAAATGCTGAAACATTCAAATTGGTATAATTTTCCAGTTCAGCCAAAATGTCAACTCTGTTATTTTGGTCTAACGTTTGGGCTATCAAGTAATCAAAACTCACAAGTCACCAAATCTCACGGTGTAAGATTTATTTACTTAAAAGAACTGCACACAGGAACTGGTATCCACTGATGCTTGAACCATAATCTCCCATTCCACATAATATAATTCTTGAGGAACAGAACACAGTATTTGCAGCTAAAAGGTCACTAGGTTATTGCACTGAATCAAACAGATCAAAGTTTTGGCTATGGCTATAGCTTGGAGGAAAGACGAGACAGGGGGGATATGATAGAAACCAGGGAATCAACACAGTAAAGGAGGAGACTATATTTAAAAGAAGAAAAACTACCACAACAAGAGGACATAGTCTTAAATTAGAGGGGCAAAGGTTTAAAAATAATATCAGGAAGAATTACTTTACTGAGAGGGTAGTGGATGCATGGAATAGCCTTCCAGCTGAAGTGGTAGAGGTTAACACAGTAAAGGAGTTTAAGCATGCGTGGGATAGCCATAAGGCCACCCTAACTATACAATAAGGCCAGGGACTAATGAAAGTATTTAGAAAATAGGGCAGACTAGATGGGCCGAATGGTTTCTATGAAACCTTTATCACATATATAACATGATTAAAGCAAATATAACAAATGTGCTTAATTTGCTGTCTTGTATTAGAGACCATTTAGCTGCAATTCCTAAAAGAACTGTCTACTCCAACATCCGTGTGCTTATGAGTTATTTTAAAAGAGAACTTTGACCAGCATGGTGTTTATTATAGAATCTGCCGGAACTCTTATTCCAGACACCGTCTTGGAGAGATATCAAATATATTCAGTGAGGTTAAACTCTGTTTATGTATAAAGACATGGGTACTGGATGGGGTGACACAATTTTATTTATTTTTTTTCAAAATATTTAGTTTGAGAAAAGCAATTTAGAGAACAACATTTTATTTCTTGTGAGAAAGTGACTGCAGTTTACCACATGACGGAACTGCAGTCAATGTTTGCTATTTTCCCTTGTGACAAGTCTCTGTGATTTTCATTAAACCCCCAGGCAATGCCTATATTTCATGTTTTTATATTTAAAGCAGTGTGGTAGCCCCTGGGATATTGGTGTTGTTAGCTGGAGACTTTGTTACCACAGTAAATACCTCTGCCTAATACTTTATGTGCATTTTTCTGCAAATCCTGCATAATTAATTTTTTTCTTATTGTCCTGAGTTCACCTCCCTTCTCCGCACTGCTTCTTACGAAGCTATAAGAAATTCTAGCACAGCATTACTTATAGCTTCATAAGTATAACTCAGGCCAAGATGGCTGTATATTAAATATAAAACCAAACAAAAAAAAAACACATAAAGTAAAACAACATGTCCTCTGCGCATGGCCTTTATGCCGCAACTCAGATAAAAAGGAAAAAATAATTAAGTACACAGTGGTTACTTACTATAGCTGATAGATTCACTGCTGGGCTTTTGGTGATAGTTCCATAGTTCCAAATTCCATCTTCACCACAATTCCAAAAAAAGCTATTTGTAATCAGTAAGCTCAAAAACATCCCCATAATGTAGATCCCTTTAACCCCTTAAGGACCAAACTTCTGGAATAAAAGGGAATCATGACATGTCACACATGTCAGGTGTCCTTAAGGGGTTAAAGTACTCCTTTTATTGAAAAATATGCAACATGGTACAAAAAAAAATACACACAGACCTCATAAGTAAGATGGTATTTAGAAAAACTCTTACATAAATTGACAAAAGTACAAAAAACACCTAATAAAATGCAAAGTCCTATATCCAAGTAAGCAAGAAATTACTCAGACCCTTTGTATAAAACAGCCTTGGACCTTAAGGGGTTAAAGTAAACAAAAATGTCCGACTGCTATGTTTGTTTTCATCATGACCAAAAATATAAGTGAGAACCATGCTTGCTCCACATAACTCACTATTACACTTCATAAATGGTCAAAACACCATATGTCTGATATCACTAGGTCGCTGCCAGACTTTCCATTTTAAACTAGGATCGCTATAATCCTTTTTCTTCATTTTTCATTTTTTATTTTTAATATATTGTAGTGTACATGCACATCAGGGGTGAGCTCTCACCTTCTATATAGAATTAAGCATGGACCCCAAATATTTCAGTTAGGCTCATTGTTATTATTCGCAAAGCACTAACAACTTTTACATAACTGCACAACATAAAATAAATTATCGTTTCAGTGTTACACTAAGGATAATGAGATATCGGCTGTGTGAGAATCCTTAGTTATAACAGATGGGATACAAAAGTTTAGAAATCTCTGCTTTAGTTCATAGCGCTTGTGGATGAATTTTACTATACATGTTAGTATTGTAATTGTATAACATTCCCAAAGCTGCTGCTTTTAAACGTGTAAATCTCAGCAGCAGGTAAACTCCCTCCATCAATTAGACACCTCTCATTCTGGTCTTTGGTGTCGGATCTCATTCTATAAACCTCTATCTAGCAAAGTAATTTTGTTTATGTTTATTATGTAGGGTAAGAAAATGTTTGTATTTGCATAAATTCCAATTATTATAATTTGTAGTCAGACCAAACACAATAGAACTCCCCACAATGTGATGCAAATTAAAAATGTATCGTTGTGCAATAGTGCATCACCTATATATCTTAAGATGGATTTTGGGAAAGTCGGTCTTGCGCAAAGTAATTCCAATAAATCATGTTTCCCCTATCAGCTCAGAATTCCAAGCTCAACATTCAAATCAGCACAGACAGGCATCGTATTTCAGACTTCATCCTGCATTTCTGTAGGTACCGCTAGTGAAGGAACACTTTTTTAAACCAAACCATTGGTTTAGAACCATTGACCAGCAAACAGCAATGGATTTTGAAGTTTCAGTCTTCTGGTTCTCGGCAGTATGGAACTGGTTCTGGTCTAAACATTGAAGCCTCCCTGTGATTATATAACTAGGTGCCAAAAAAGTTGTTCAAAGACCAAAGCTGATAAATTCTCAACCCACAATCTGGTGCGAATTAAAAATGACTGTTACTAGCTTTGTGCTCATAGATCGACTTCAACTTTTAGAACAGGACCATGGTCATGCTGACGAGACAAGAGGTCAAAATTGTTTCTAATTATTGGTCTTTTTGAATCAAAAACTATGCCTAGAGTTTAAAAAGTCATATATCATAGACTCTGTACATTTTCCAAAATAGTTTACTCTGACTTTACACATGCAGCTTTACAATAACTAAAACGATAAGGCAGGCATGTCCTGTGTAATCACTTTTATACAAATTCGGTGATTTATATCACAAGTGCACCGACAGTTTTACACATTTTTGTGGTTTTTTTTTACACCCTTCTGTGTTTGACACACTAAATCTGTCCTTTTTTTCTTTAAATCTGTTGCTTCTTTTGTGCCATTACAGTCAATTCAAAAAGTACAGATATTTTTTTAGGTGACAAATGTATTAATGTTTCAATCACATTTTTCATTAGGAGAGTTTTGATTCACTTGTCTGTTTTCCAATACTAGAAATGTGACTGTTTTTGAAATAGACAATCTTTTCTACAAATTAATGGACATATCTAGGCAGTAAAATGCTGACACTTTTTTTAGACAAATTTAGAACAACTGAATGAATAGGAACACTTTCCGTACAGTTTGAGAAATCTCCCCCATTGTCTTTTGAAACACTATGTATATAAATTAGTTTGGTTAGTGAATATCAAGAGGTACTTAAACTAGAACTCAAATCTTATACAATTCTTCACTGATGATATATTAGGGATGTAATAACCTTAAATGCGAGTATTAGATTTAGCTTTCATTATTTTGGATACATTGTTTTGCTGTAACAATACAATGGTTTAATTCCAGTCTGGAGAGCCTGTGAAAAATATTAAAGAGACTCTCCAGTGCCAGGAAAACAAACCCGTTTTCCTGTCACTGCAAGATCCTGTAATGCCACCCTCCCACTTGCCTCCCATCCCATGCTGCTGAAGAGGTTAAAACCCTTTTAGCTACTTACCTGAATCCAGCGCCGATGTCCTGCCGATGTAACAGGCAGAAGGTGATCAGCGCTTAAGATTATATATACATACTATACAGATGATATTCTTAGTATATGAATCTATAAGTACAAAGCAAGAAACAGATTATGGTGCAGTACAGTAGATGTTTGTGAATGGAGTACAAATGGGCATTTGTGCACACTCACACTTTTTAGAACTGTCTCAGCTCTATTATGAAGGCCTGGATGGAATAATCCCCATCTATGGATATAAATGGAGGGTCTTTGGAGATTGTTTTCCGGATGGAGTAGGTATATGTGAAAAAAGACAAAATAGGGAATCCAATGGTATAGTATATACAAACAATTGGTATTGATGGAGGAAAATATCCTACTTACGTCACCCAGAGCAATGTCCTGCTCTGGTATGAAAAACTTGAGGTGGAACAATCCCCACCTAGGGATATATGCTGGAACCAGAAGGATGATGAGAGCTGTATGAAGGATGTATAACACAGGTGATGATGTATAACATAGTAGGTTTATTAAATAAAAAGATGGAAACAACAGCTATATAAGTAAAAACAAATAAACAGACTTTGGATAAAATAAGTTCTCATTTAACACGTTTCCCCAAAGGCTTTCTCAAAAGTCTGTTATCTTTATTATTCAATGCTTTCCTTTGGGGAAAATCTGACACTGGAGGTCCGTCAGGACGTCTAGCGTCAGATAACCGACCAAAGGTGATAGATAGGTGATAGAAAGCCACAGAGGGCAGACATACACCTGCAATGTAAACATTGTAGTTCTCTGGAACCAGGACCGGACTGGGGATACAAAGCAGCCCTGGAAAAATAAATCGATGCCAGCCACACAGCACGGCGTGGGAAAAAAAAAAAGGTGAGTAAAAACACTATTTCTAAACACACATACACCATGACAGACACAGACACACACATATACCATGAGAGATGACACACACACACCTTATCAGACACACACATATATAATGACAGATGACACGCACACACACCTTATCAGACACACACATTTAGTTAGACACCATGACACACACACAATGACACAGACACACACACATCATGACAGACAGACCGACACACACCATGACTCTCCTCCAGCTCTGCTTCACTCCTACTTGATATTTCTTGTCCTAATGTTTCCAATACCCCACCTCCTATAGTCTGTAAGCTCATTTGAGCAGGGTCCTCTTCAACCTATTGTTCCTGTAAGTTTTCTTGTAATTGTCCTATTTATTGTTACATCCCCCCTCTCAAAATATTGTAAAGCGCTACGGAATCTGTTGGCGCTATATAAATGATGATAATAATAATAATAATGACACAGACACACACATACACATCATGACAAACAGACCGACACACCATGACACACACACACACACACACACACACATATCATGACAGACAGACACACCATGACACAGACCCACACACATCATGACAAACAGACAGACACACCATGACACAGACCCACACACACACATCATGACAGACAGACACACTATGACACACACAATGACACACAGACAGACACACACCATGACACACACACACACACACACACACACACACATACACTCATACACATAATATAGCTACCTGTGGGCGACCGGCCAGGAAGTCGTGCAGGGCAGACAGGTGGGTCAGGTGTGCTGGGGGCCGCAAGGGGGAGCTGGCTCTTCTGGCGGCCACAGGGGGAGCTCAACTGGTGGCCGCATGGGGGAGCTCATCTGGCGGCCGCAGGGGGAGCTCTTCTGGCGGGCCGCATGGGGGAGCTGGGTGTTCTGGCTCTGCTCCCCAGCGCGCAGCTTAATGAGACCGGGGCCGGAATATGAACTGCCCTGGCCTTGTCTGGAACAGCAATGTTTTACATTGCAGCACTAAGTGAAATAGGGGCACAGCACCCAGACCACTTCAATTAGCTGAATTGGTCTGGGTGCCTGGAGTGTCCCTTTAATGCTAAATATTGGACTAATAACATACATTTGCTATGGGTAATTTAGTTAGACAGAACACAAGTGACATATCTTATCTACTTGTGGTATATTTCTAAATACATAGAGCATTGTGTTAGAAAGGAAATATATTACTCAAGAATGTAACTATTTCTAGCCATGTACTCATTTAGTTGCACTATGGTTAAATAATGCATAAAGATACAATCCCAATACTAAAATAAATAAATAAATAAAAACAACAATGAAACAAAGAGGACATCAGATTCCTGTTATACTAGTTGTACCTACTTTTTTTCAAGATAGTTAACAATAAATAAAACAAACAAATACAAAACCCAAATACAACATCAGATTATTTGATACTAGTATTTTATTTTTTTTAAAAATAGGTCAAATTGTGTGACAAGGTCAGAACTCCTTTTCATATTGCTTTAGTCGCAAGAATATAGGATTGGACAAGCATCATTTCTTAGGGGTGGGGGATGGGATTAATAATCTGTATTCAATTGAAGTCTTTATAATTTGCTATTATGCTGATATACCCAGATGATTTACACCGTATGATTTCTTTGTAATGGAAATTTATTTGATTCCCAGTTATACACAGGAACACATGCTGTCTTTTTAAAATGTGCCAAAAAAAACAGAAAGTTAGAATAAATAAACAAATTTGTGTTGCATACTAAAGGGTGACTGGGAACAGATTTTTAAATACACTTCTGCGCCAGAATAAATCTTTAAACACTGCTTATATAAAATATATTTATTGAGTGAAAATGAATAACACGTTCATAAATAATCAATGGTTAATACCTCAGTTTACTGATAAATTGTTTATCCTTTCAGTATAAACCGTAAATATACAACAATTATCGTCCAGATATCTTTACCAAAATAGTTTTAAAATACTTTAGAACCTTAACTAGGCAAAGGCTAGAAATGCTTGCTTCCATTAAAGGGACACTTCAGACCCATAAAGCACTCTAGCTTGCCAAAAAGCTTTATGTGTAAAGAGTGTGTCCTAATTTTTTCATTTTACAAACAAGTGCAGATTTTAATAGAAATGTACACTTTCATAAACTAACCTAGTTACACCCCCTTGGCATTCAAGCAGACCACAGGTAAAATTGCTTCCTGGTTTCATTAGCGCAGTTAAGCTAAACTCAAGATGAAAAAATCACTCCGAGCACCTGCTCTGCAAAGACTTTTCACTGAGCTGCATTGGGATGTCTGTGATTGGACAGACACAGAAAGTCTAGTTAGAATGGGAGGGCATGCAAAGGCAGCAGACAAGAGAACTGCAGGTTTGCAAGCTGTTTTTAGATATAATGCTTAATTAAATGCATTCACTAAAGTGAGAATTTAAAGTGAATTTCAAATAGATGTGGATATTCTGGATCTATTTCTTTACCCACTCTGAGTCCAGTCAGAGAAAAATGCAGTTTTTTTGTTGTTGCCAATACCGGCACCAGCCAGACAGCTTTTCATTTTTGGTCATTCGCCTCAAGCTCCTGATGGAGCCTGCTAGCCAGCCTCCTGCCCCAGGATTATGGACCATATAAAATACCCTGCAAACTACTCTGTTCGTGTGATTTAGGATGATGTTGGTCAGGGACCGCTTGGGTAAACCGCTTGGGTGCTTTTCCTATTCGTTTGCTAGCGTGAAGTTCCAATTTGGGAGTTTGGAGTGCTATTTTGTATGCAGTTCGGGAGTTTGGAGCAGTCCCTTGTATTCAGTTCGGAAGTTTGGTGTTCTGCAGTAGCTGTGCCTGTATCTCTGGAAGGGGAAGGGACGTGCTTAACTGTGTCTGAAATTGTATAAATGCAGGCCATCTGGCCAGATTATACTCCCAGAGCTGAGTGTCGTTGCTGGGGATGAGGTGGGATATTCTTGGATTGTTTTACTTGTTCCTGACTGTAATTTGGTGTAACTAGTGAAGGGAAGTCCCTGCTAGGACTAGGGCTCCGTTACATTGGTGGCAAGCGGTGGCAAGCGGTGGGATCATACTTCCCAGCTGAAAGGAACAAGCATGGCGCCATGCTACAGTGAGGAAGAATTTGACAAGATGCTAAAGACGCTGCTGGCTTACTATGGGCCCAACCCTGCTGAGAAGTACATACAGCACATGACGAAAATAGTGGCCGAGTACCTGCAGTGCACAGCAGAACTGACAAGTGAGAGGGCACGAAGGGGGAATACCCCAGCGCCAGTGTGGGGGCCAGGGAGAAGAGACAGTCGGTCTCTCTCCCTAGCGGCAGAGTGTGTTACAAGGAGAGAAGCATGTCGTCCTTCCTCCCCAGTGGCAGTGTGAGGTCCAGGGAACGGAGACAATGGGTCTTGTTCCCCAGCGGCAGTGCATCATGCAGGGAGAGGAGACAACCAATCTCTCTCCCCAGAGGCAGCCGGATACACCTTGGGAGGGGACAGTCGGTTCCCCTCCCCAACCACAGGGAAAGATACAGGGAGTGGAGACAGTCAGTCCCACTTTTCAGCAGCTGGGCCTATCGTCCGGAGAAAAGCCCCCTGGCGTGGATGGTGCAGATGGGACGGGATGGTGCAGATGGTCTCTGCACCAGCCCTACATGGATGCTGGGCGGCCAGCCCAGATCCCCAAGATGCAGATACAGCCCAGGAGGAGGATACAGGTGGTCCTCCTCCACAACAGCATGGTGAGAGCTTGGGAGAAGAGGGTGTCATCCCTCCCCAGCCACAGCGGGAATGCCACTGAGAGTTGGTAGTTGATTCCTCTCCCAAGCGGCCAATTCCCAATGGTGTCCCGGGTGCAGTGTAGGGAACTATGGCTTCCACAGACACCCTCCCAGCAGAATAGCTGGCATCAGGGCAGAGCACAGCTGGCCTCTGCCCTGCCTGTCCATTTGCTCTGGAAGAGATGATAAGAGGGCCAACCCAGCTGGCAACGCTGCAACGCTGGCCTCTGCCCACCAAGCACCGACAGCTCCACGACTGGGAGCAAGGGAGAGAGCGGGGGTGACGGACAGTACCCACACAGAAGCTTGGAACTAACCAGGCCGAGTCTAGAGCAGGAGGCTACCAAGTCAAACAATTGTGTGTGTGTGGGCTTCCAGACTACCTCAGGCACCGAGCGACAGGAGGTCAGGTACCTGGTTAGTCTACCCTTGGGGGGGAAGATATGTGACAAACTCCTGGAGGAGCCTGCTAGCCAGCCCCCTGCCCCAGGATTATGGGCCATACAAAATACCCTGCAAACAACTCTGTTTGTGTGATTTAGGATTATGTTGTTAGGGAACCGAACGGCCGCATGAACCGGAGACCACCGAGGAGCCTGTTAAGCCCAATTGCACTGATTTCATGGAACGGTTTTGGGCATAGGACCATGTGCTTGGTCGGTCAAAATTATGACTTCCAGGGTGTGACAGATTCATCTGTATTGCTGGTTCGTCTGTTTCCCTTTGTTTCGCTGGATTTCCTGTTCGTATACCCCCGTTCGTGTAATTTACAAACTACCGATTGAAACTACCGAACGAACGACCACCCAGGAGAGGAGTGTGCTGCTGGTTAACCTCTTGGCCCCAATTAGAACGTTGTGGTTAACTGCAGACACCTCTCCATTCCATTCGTACGGGTGGTCGTCGTTCGCATGTCGACCACGAGGCAGCGGCCATTTTGGGACACACGAAAGCATAGCGGTGTTCGGTACAAATTGTATGGAACTAAAAACGGACACTTTAAACTACCGAACACCGCTGGAAGCTGATGCCCACCTTCTATTTCGACAAGGCATGCGAACGCCGGTCGTTCGGGAGTTTTTATGCATTCGTATGGACTTTTACCCAGATAGCCGTCCCATGGAGTCATTCGTATACCGAAGGACTGGTGAAAGACTTTGACTCCATGGCGATTCGACTAGATACATCGGATCTGAGCGCTATTCGGTGAAAATATGCACTCAGATCCAGGCTGTCTGGGGATACGTTATACGAACTATATCCATTCGGTATTTTCCCAGTTATGTATTTTAATGTATTTTTGTTACTGTATTTTAAAATGGCGATTGTCTCTACCCTGGGAGATAATTAGGTTTCTTCCTAATTATCTCCGGGGTAGAGAGGACGGATTTGTGGGTAAGATGGGAAGGGCTTATATTGAAGCCACTGCGATTGGCTACTGTTCAATATGTTTTACAGTCTTCCACAAGGTCCCCTCGGGGAGTGTCCACCTTGTGGAGACCTGCATAAATACCGGGCAGGTAGCCCCCATTAAACAGATCTTTATTTGACCCTCAAGACAGAGCTTGGTCTCGTTTGTGGGGGAATTATTACTGGGACAGCTCTTTCGTTATTTTTAGCTGTGGAAGGCGTTCGACTGTTTTGCTGATCAGGAATTGCCGTGTTCGTGGACTTCGTTCGGGAGTTTGGTGGTCGGCTGGATATAAACTGCATTTCTGGAGAAGGGGATTATTTACTAAACGGCGGCTTCATCTACCTGGCGGTGAGTGTCTTAACAATTGGTGGCAAGCGACGGGATGAATCCTACCGCCCAGAAGGCCAGCTACACATCCCAGGTTGGAAATGCAGTATGAAGAGTTAAGGCGTGCTACCCTTAAAGATATATTAGAACGCAGAGGACGATCAGCGAGTAATCTCAAGAAAAGGGAGATTATTGCCATACTTTTGGAAATGGATGCAGCACAGGGAACGGGAAGAGCTGATGTGCCTGGCATACTGGAGTTAACACCCGAGGAGATACAATTTAACCGGGCAGTTCAGATCAGGCTGGCACATTTTGGCCCCAACCCCGCAGCAGATATTGTGGTTCAAGTGCAAGCAGCAGTAGCAGCACAACAGGCGCTTCAAGGAAGAGGCGCTGCAGCAGCTGAGGTACCCTATAATAATAATGGAAGGAGAAAAGTACCCTTTGCTGCATTTCGAAATTTTGTAGAAGCCGAAGGAGAGATTGATGGGTTCCTGGCTGATTTTGAAAGGCAATGTGCCTTACACCAGGTACCCGCAGGGGAATGGGTCACCATCCTCTATGGGAAGTTATCCGGCCGGGCCAGTGAGGCGTTTTGGGCCATCCCAGAGGAGGAAATTACCAGCTACAGGGCAGTGAAGGATGCCCTTTTGGCCAGATACGCTGTAACCCCTGAGGCGTACCGGCGGCGATTCCGGGACACCAACAAACAGGCTGGCGATTCTTATGTGGAGTGGGCATGCCGAGTACACCGCACAGCAGCCCACTGGATGTCGTTCGCATGTCGACCACGAGGCAGCGGCCATTTTGGGACACACGAAAGCATAGCGGTGTTCGGTACAAATTGTATGGAACTAAAAACGGACACTTTAAACTACCGAACACCGCTGGAAGCTGATGCCCACCTTCTATTTCGACAAGGCATGCGAACGCCGGTCGTTCGGGAGTTTTTATGCATTCGTATGGACTTTTACCCAGATAGCCGTCCCATGGAGTCATTCGTATACCGAAGGACTGGTGAAAGACTTTGACTCCATGGCGATTCGACTAGATACATCGGATCTGAGCGCTATTCGGTGAAAATATGCACTCAGATCCAGGCTGTCTGGGGATACGTTATACGAACTATATCCATTCGGTATTTTCCCAGTTATGTATTTTAATGTATTTTTGTTACTGTATTTTAAAATGGCGATTGTCTCTACCCTGGGAGATAATTAGGTTTCTTCCTAGTTATCTCCGGGGTAGAGAGGACGGATTTGTGGGTAAGATGGGAAGGGCTTATATTGAAGCCACTGCGATTGGCTACTGTCCAATATGTTTTACAGTCTTCCACAAGGTCCCCTCGGGGAGTGTCCACCTTGTGGAGACCTGCATAAATACCGGGCAGGTAGCCCCCATTAAACAGATCTTTATTTGACCCTCAAGACAGAGCTTGGTCTCATTTGTGGGGGAATTATTACTGGGACAGCGCTTTCGTTATTTTCAGCTGTGGAAGGCGTTCGACTGTTTTGCTGATCGGGAATTGCCGTGTTCGTGGACTTCGTTCGGGAGTTTGGCGGTCGGCTGGATATAAACTGCATTTCTGGAGAAGGGGATTAGTTACTAAACGGCGGCTTCATCTACCTGGCGGTGAGTGTCTTAACACAGGGAAATTCTGAATCCCTGAACCAATCTGGGTGATTTTTGGATATGTTGGTCACCCTGATCAGGGCTATCAGGGGATGTAACTTTTGTGGGGTTGTTGTGTGTTTTGAAGGTATTTTGGGGTTTTTGTAATATTGTATGTTTTTCTGTGCCTGGAGATAATTGAGTTAGTTCAGTTCCTGACTCTGTTATCTCTCAGGCACAGAGGAGAAGATTGTAACTTGTAACTAGTCCCCTCTCAGGTCCAGGAGAGGGATTATCCTGTTTGTGTGGGAGTGTCAGGGGCGTGATTAACTATGTCTGAAATTGTAAAAAAGCAGGCCATCTGGCCAGATTAAAACATTACAGTTATACCCCCAGAGCTGAGTGTCGTCCAGTTGCTGGGGATGAGGTGGGATTCTTGGATTGCTTTACTTGTTCCTGACTGTAATTTTGTGTAACCAGCAGAGGGAAGTCCCTGCTAGGACCAGGGCTCTGCTACAGTGTATATCTACTAAACAGTGATTTTTATTTATTTTGTATTTGGGCAGTAAAGTGACCCTTTAACTAAAGCAGTTTAGCTTAGTGATGAGCTTTATGTCTGAAGAATGTGTCCTCTGTTAATTTAAAAAAAAAATAAAAGTGCAGATTTCAGTATAATTTAACCTTTTATAAATTAACCTTGTAACAGACCTGTTACTTCCTGGTTTGGTTAGCTCAGTGGAACTGAACACAAGAGTCGGCAATTGCTCAAGGAACCTGTCTTGCAAAGAATTCTCATTGAGCTGCACTATGATGTCTGTAATTGGACAGTAACACAAAGTCTGGACTGGGAAAGAAGGGGAGGATTTGAAGAGACTTTTGTTTTTATACCTACCAGCTCATGTTTTGATATCTACCCCGATGCTCAGATGATCGAAGTGAAGTGCGCATATGCTAAGTGAACCTTTTATGGTGTTGTGGTGGAATTATCATGACAGTTAATTGAATAACATGCCTTCTTCTAGATGGTTGTCCATTTTGCCAAAGAGTAAAGCTGGACAGGATTAATTACTAAAGTGACAAATAAAGGGAATTTCCAATTCAAGGTAAAAAATAACCAAATAATCAGTTTAGCTACTCTGGTGTAAAAGTCACTTAGAATTTTTACTTTACTAAATAACCCTGTAAGAGGCAGACGGTATCAGTGGCGTTCAATGCAGACTTTAGGAATGGATCGTGGAATTTTTAATCACATCTACTTGTTGTTGGGATTAACAGTGATTAATTCCTGATTTTTAATGACGAGCCCTATTTCATACACTCTGAATGACTTTTTAATCAAATTGCAATAATACTTGGCATTGTTTGGCCACCTGGTACAGTTCATCTCTGTATGTGTAATACCTTCTGTATACTGACTGGATTAAAATTTCTTATACAGATTTTGCTTCGGACTGGTCTTTACTACACGATGCATCCATTCATGGGCGCCTGGTTTCTTTAAACAAGCTCATTAACCAGGTAATCACAAAGACAATATTCGTTTATTTCTGTTTTAGAAGATTAGAGTATTTCGGAGTTGTTCCTTTTCCTTTTGACAAGGCTAAAGCTGTAGCAAGAAATAGTAAGCTTGATTGATTACTTGATTAGAGCATGAAGCTGATCATGCTGCCCCAGTAATGTTGCCACCATTCTGGGGGGGGGTGGGGAAATACTAGGCATGTTAATTTGCATAATTATATATGCATGACATCACATAACATAACATTATATTATATTATGTAATATCACAGGGAGTGACATAAAAGTAAAAAAAAAAAAAAATGGAAGACTATTCCCTTAATCACTAAAAACTCTGTACAATGTGTGCACTATATGTGACAATGCATGTTGCATTTTGTATGCATTGCAGTGTCAGTGTGTATACAGTGTTTGTGTCAGTGCATGTGTACTGTGTGAGTGTATGTGTAGCATTGTGTCAGTGTGTGTATACTGTCTGAATGAGTGTATGTGTAGCATTGTGTCTGTGTATACTGTCTGAATGAGTGTATATAGCAGTGTGTGTATACTTTGATTGTGTGTACACTGTCATTGTATGTATACTTTGCCTAAAAGTGTGTACAGCAATGTGTACATACTGTGTCTGAATGGGTTTGTCCATGTGTGTATACTGTGAGTGTGTGTGTGGGGTTGTTTGTCAACGTGTGTATATGATGTCCGATTGTGTGTGTCAGTGTGTGAATATAGCAATGTGTGTACATATTCTGTATAATAGAGGTGGATATTCTGGCTCTATTTCTTTACCCCCTCAGAGAAAAATGCTGTTTTTTTTTTTTTGGCCAATACCAGCACCAGCCAGACAGCTTTAAATATCGGCTAGGTGACAATTGTATGCCCCACAGACTGAGTGAGGTAAATGTATAAAATCTTTGAGATCTATCAAAGTGTTGAGTTACGAAACATGGTGCAAAATTGTACAGGTGAAGTAATTACCAATGAGATTGTGAAAGAAACTTTTTTCCATTCGGTAGCTATAACTACTGAACTCTGACCACCCCCTGGCTCATTATTTTTAAAGAGAACAGTTGATTAAGTGCTCTCCCTGTGTGGCCACCGTTCATATAGTCGAACACCACTTGCAGGAGAAAACGGTGGCCATCTGGTTCGCATGAAAGGAGGTAGCGGGACTTGGTCGTCGAGTGTCTGGAACTAAAATTAGACACTCAACTTCCTGAACACTGGTCAAACTGTACAAATCTTTCCTGTTACACCCTTCATCTAATTTCGGCTGATGTTTTGGGCACCTGTCTACCTTACTGGGAGAATCTACCTACTCAGCACCCGAACTGCGAGCTATAATCACTCAGGCTCAGGCAGTTCGGGAGGAAATAGACGAACGGGTAGCTGTTATACCAGCGTTCGTTACAGTGATGTTCCTATTGATTCAACTGGCTTCCATGGTGGAAGATTTTATACAAAGACACAAACTAGGAGAAATTTATAAAAAAATATGCAAATACTAACCAGAATGCAATCACCATGGAAACCAGTAAAGTCTGCCGGCACATTCTTTGGTGACTCGTCCCCCTTTACATATTTGCACCACTTTTCAGAATATGACACTTTGATAGATAGACCTTCCCCACAGTGCCTGGAAGAGTTTAATTTCTATCTTTCTCTGGCAACAGTGTAATTGTTAGTTGATTATTAACTTGCTGTGTGTTCTTGATTTCCAAAGGGATTTAGTGTAAATCAGATTACTGCAGATCATGTATCACCTCTACATGAAGCGTGTCTCGGAGGTCATCCTGCCTGTGTAAAACTCTTACTGAAACATGGAGCCGAGGTAGGAATTCTTCAAAGGAAACCATTTCGCTTTTTTTAGTAATAACAGCCAAAAAATCATTGTGATGAAAAAATACAGATGATCTACCCCTGTTTTATAAATGTCTACACAACCCTCACTGGTACTGACAATTAGTTATAGTTTACCATTTTGTACACTGAACAAAAAGGCATGTTTTCTACTAAACTGCAATGGACACTCCATCAAGGCACAATAAAAGATCTGTCAGTGGATGCACCCTTACCATTGTGGGGCTCAGGGCATTCTCGCATCCAAATTAACATATGTAATTAGCCACATACATATAATTCTATACATAGCCTGCCACTCTCAGAGCATTGTATTTAGATGCCAATAGTAATATGACAGCTTGGACATGTCTTGATTCAAATTATAAAATATATGTTTGTAAAAACCATTTTATTTTTTTTTAAATGGGGTTTATGCATTAAAAAAATCAATCACTTATAGTTAACTGAAAATCAAATGGCAACGTTTAGGTAAAAATAGCAGATAAAAAAAACAAACAAAAAACAAACTGCTACTCACTAAAATCTATTCACTAATGGGAGAACTGCTGGAAATGCAAAGGGAATTTCTAAATTTAGGCCAAAATAGCCCAATTACAAAAATGTAGTTCATCAAAAATCTGTTTTGTTCTCTGTATGACTATTTAGACCTTAATTTGAAATTCACTTTGAATCCAATTTGAATTCTCAGTAATTCTACCTTTAGTGAATTATGCTGAAAGTTATTGCAATGTGTACTGCAACTTTTATGACAAAAAAACGCTTAGCTATAAACTCACTGAATTGGAGTATTTTCCCACTTTGGCTATTTTGATCTAAAATTTCGAGAATTCTATTTTACCGAATTAATTTCTGAATAACAAAATTCAGGTTGAAATAGCAGAGCAGTGGCTATAGTTGAGTTAAAGAATTTCTTTAAATCAGCTGTTTTCTACAATTTTGCCATTCAGATTTTAATTGTGGTCAGACATTGAGTACACTAGATGCTCTCAGATTAAATAAAAAAAAGTAGCAAAGGAAACTAAATACACACTGTACAGATTACTCTTCCACCTTCCATTAACTCCGCTTGATACGAGATGTAATGCCATATAAGTGGGTTCACAAGAGATTGTCTCACTCTGCATTCTGTTGTATGTTTGAAGCCAAATTCAAAATCTTCAGTTTACTAAGTGGTGGAAATAGCATAGCCACACTGAAGCTGAATTCAGGTTTGCTTGGAAGTCAATGTAAAGATCCATGATATTTATTACAACAGTTCACAAATTGGCTACTAAGCCTAACTAAGCTCAGCCGTCAGATCTGTTTCACTGGCTCAAGTGCTAACAAAGAACAGAGTGTCGCTGTTTGCAATTTTAAAAAAATAAACTTTTTTATTTAAAAAAAAAAAAAAGGCATTTCTTATTATGTCCTAATAGAGAGCTAATGAGCTCACGGAGAGCTGATCAGTGATCTATAGACATCAAATTAAAGAAAATAGTTAGAGCCCAGGAAACTGTACATCCCCTGTGTACCACAGGGAATCAACACGTATTTGTTATACAGTATCTGTGAGACTGGGCATCACCTTTGCCCTTTAAAGGAACAACTATTACAGGGACCTATTAGTCTTGGCATATCCTGGGCAGTCTATTGTTACCCTTTTTGTGCACATGGAGAGAGATGAGGTAACAGCAAAGTGTTAGGCCCTGATCAGTTCTATATGGGATCTAGAGACTCCACATATTTTGATGCCAAAATAAAAAAAAAAACACCAGGTTCTAATAAATCAAGCCATTTGGGTGAATTTCAGAGATTTTCGCTGTGTTTAGCAATTCACTATTGACCGCACAAGATTTAATCAGTAGAATATCTTTTCAGTAGATTATTGTTCTCTTATGTTTTTTTTGCTTAAAAGAGTTAACCGTTATTTTTCACATGTTGCTTCTAGGTTAATATTCCAAACGTAGACTGGAAAACTCCTGTGTTTAACGCATGTGTCAGTGGCAATGTGGCTTGTGTCAATCTGCTGTTAAAGCATGGAGCCAGTCCAAACGGCATCTGTGACGTAGCCTCTCCAATTCACGAAGCAGCTAGGAGAGGTAAGAGTTAGTATTGTTCATGGTTTATGGATCAATAATGTTATGGCTTTTTAAAAATTCGGTTTTTTTTTTGCCCAGGAAAAACACAAGTCAATTACTATGTACTTCAATCCCATCGGGTCTGCCATGAGCTTTTTATACATATTATTTTATTATTATAAATTATATATTTATTATTTAGCGCCACCAAGGTCCGTACAGCTATAAGTGATTAACAAAAAATTCACTACTAGGTAACACTAATTCATTAATTTTTCACTATGAAAGAGACGCTTTGAGAGAAAAATAATAAATAATAGACAGAGTTAGGTGAGCTCTTCTTATGGCAAGTACCTACTTAGAATATAATATTTAATATGTGGCTCTACATAATACTATACAAATGGGATGGCGCAAGTAGCATAAAAATATAATAAAAATGTGAATGTTATTAACAATGCAGCAGCCCAATCTGATAAGCCCTGGTGATACAACTCAGAAAAACTGTATAATTATTAAAAGATTGGTGCATATAAAACCAATAAATAATATAAAACCCACTGATGATACTTATGTGAAATACTCAGACCCCACACATATTCTGGGTGATGAATATTACATACAGCGATAGTAAAGAAGTAGTGAAAGATACTTATGTGCCAAATTAAAACAATGATCTATGGCAAAATAGTGCAGGGAAATTCACAATAAATATACTTGCACAAACCGCTTCACAGTCATCGAATCAACAAATAAATAGACAGAAAAAATACTAGTGCAATATGTAAAGTAAAATCACAATTAATAAAAAAGAATGCTCAGAATTGGAAACTCACAAGATTTTAGTAGTTAAAGTACCACTCTCCAATATAAGGCTCTGGGGGGATCAGACCCTAGTGAGCGTGGGATCCGATGGATACACTTGCAGCCAGCCAAATTAGATCAGAGGAAGGGCGATTGGGACCAACGTCTGAGAAGACGTGAATGTTACTGGATCTACTGCCTAAAAACATTGTCCCCTAGGGGACTCAATGAAGGCTTTTCATACTCCCCATTTATTTTGAAGTCTCTAATTTTGAGGACGCATGTAACTATTCAAACGTATACCTCGTATGCTCTTTTCATTGTAAATTGTTTCTTTCCAGCAGTTTCTTTTTTTTTTTTTACATACACTATCATCTCCCAATTTCCCCTTTCCTAAAAAGGGAAATAAATGACCATATCCAAGACTATATTCAAGATACTGTCACTTTAAATCGGTGATATGCAATAACATACATTCACACAGTGATCCAGCAGCACATGAACGATCAATATGAGATTTATTAAATTTAGTTTTCTTTTAATGCTCATGTATACATTACTGTTTAATTACTTGTTGATTTGGGTGCTACCTCGGTTACTGATAGTGCCGAGACGGCTATCCAGCACGTACAATTTATTCTACTTTTCAAGCAGCGGAGCTCATTCATGTCTAACCGACAACAGGTAGGAATCCCATAGGGTCCTAGCGCTGCCAATCATGTTACATCAGAGACCGGTGACTCCACCCACAGTATCCCCACGTGGACATATAATTGAACCGTCATTGTTGACGTATTCATGTCCACGAACCGGATTGGTCACTTTACATTAAAATACCATGGGTTTTTGGGAGACAAATGTTTAGCCCCTGACGAAGGAGTCTGTGAACTCCGAAACGCGCGTTGGGTTTAGCTCGGCAATTTGCACTTCACTGAGCACATTATAATGCACTTGTAGGGAAGTCCTCTTTCCTCTACGCTTTTCATTTGCACCTCTTGTTTTGTAGCTTGGCGATGTAATTTTCCACTTGGAGTTTAATTAAAAGGTGAGATCGACATGGGGACCTTGTTTTACAAATTTTAGAGGTAGCCTTAGTTTAGAACACCCACTAAGGTGTTATCAGGAGTATTTAGGGAATTAGCATAGCAGTGCTTGTAGCAGCTTTTTCTATGTAACATTGCATCTATCGTTCTAACGCTACATTTGTTTCTGCCTACACTTTCTTGGAAGGATTTGATTATAGCTACTATCTAGACCACGCTCCCCTAACTTCGGCTACCCCACTTATAACAAGGTATCCTTATACTGCTTGTCTATCCACCTTAGATATTTTCAAGGAACATCTTTTGAACACCTTAACCAAGAGTGCTCAAACACAAGGCTCTCATTGTATTTGCACTATATCTGAACAGCAATGACTAGCCACGAGCTTTTCTCCTTACTGCTCACTTAAGGGAAATAGCATTTAGCAGCACTACTATGTGGGTAATTGCTACTATAGTATCCTTCCCGATAGAGGTTAAATAAAGTTACTTTTCTTTTTTAGTTTTATTATACCACCAAGAAGTTAATGTGTCTCATTCTGGTATATATACACACTTTTTTCCTACTATTTTGCTCTCCAAGCTAGCTTACTAGGTACTTTTGATGTTAGAATTGTGTTCCTCTTTCATCCATACCAGTGCTTGGGAGCTCCCCTCCGGGGTTGCCTTCCCATTTATGTTCTTTGATATTTTCATTGTCTTATTCAGGGTTCAAGCCCACTCTGGTGGGGCTGGTAGCACCATCCTGGCCATTTTTTCCCTGGTTTTTCGACCCAATCTATTGTGGGTGAAAATTAAAGGAAAATCCTTCTATTCTTCTAGTGAAAGAAACGTATGTGCCAAATTAAAACAATGATCTATGGCAAAATAGTGCAGGGAAATTCACAACAAATATACTTGCACAAACAGCTTCACAGTCATCGAATCTACAAATAAATAGACAGAAAAAAAACTAGTGCAATATGTAAAGTAAAATCACAATTAATAAAAAAGAATGCTCAGAATTGGAAACTCACAAGATTTGAGTGGTTAAAGTACCACTCTCCACTATAGGGCTCTGGGGGGGATCAGACCTTAGTGAGCGTGGCATCCGATGGATACACTTGCAGCCAGACACAAGGTAACACACGGACTTTGTAGTTTATTTGCTGCAGTGTCCGTGTGGCAAACAATACGTGGGAAAGACTAAGAGACCCCTGAAAGTACGCCTTATGGAACATATTAACAATATAAGAAAAGGTATGACCACTCATTCAGTGCCAGTTCACTGTAACACTTGCCAGGCCTTTAATTGGAGGGATTTTAGGGGTTGTGGTATAGAACATGTGTCCCCTCATTGGAGAGGAGGTAATAGGGAATTGAAATTAGCACAACGGGAGACTTATTGGATCTACCATTTGGATACCTTGTCACCCAAAGGTTTAAATATCGATGTGGATTTGGCTAGTTTTATGGTTTGATGTTGTTATCATTTATTAAGTGGGGGATTTCCATCTTCTGCCTGTTATACATTCAACTATATTATAGTTGTATATATTTTTCATTTTTATTCTTATTGTTATTTTTAATTTTATTTGTATTTTTAATTTCATTTTTATTTTTATTTTTATTTATTTTTATTTTTATTTTATTTTAATTAGATTTTTATTATTTTCATTTTTTAATTTTATTTTTATTTTATTTTTATTTTTATTTTTATTTTTCATTTTTATTTTCATTTTTATTATATATTATATAGTGATATACATATATATTTTTATATATGTAAATATATTCATTTATTATTATTCTTATTTAATATTCCTTTTTGTGGCAGAGGATTGAAGTCCTTTTTTCTATTTGATGATGATCTAATTTGTATTAATAGAATGGTTATATCAATGATTGGGATTATTCTAAGACTGTTCTTTTTAGTCTTCTTAGCCACTTGAAGGGCTGGTCGTTTGGAATGCATGGGTCCGGTCTTGGAACGCAACGTCAGCGGCTGTGACGTGCGTTGTTACCGTTACCGGAAATGCATATATGGAACGCAACCGGAAGTTGTGATTTGGAACGCATAACATTTACGGACGGATAATCAGCTGTTTTTAGCCGCGAATTTTAAGGTGGAGATCACCTGGAAAAAATTCCCTTTATTGAAAAGGGTTGTCTACGAAGGAATCCTCCAATCAACAAACGGACTGGTTATATTTAAGGGACTCTGTTGGGGGTGGGAATATGCATGCTTTGTATCTTACATATTGTGTATACTGCAAAATTTTCTCTGATGAAGTCCAATTTGTATGGACGAAACGCGTTAGATGCAGTACTATTTGTATATTTTAATTATTGATTTTTAATATAGGCTTATTAGTGCCTTTAACAATAAAATGATTTTTTTATACTTCACTGGCATACTCCCACTTCTTGGAAGACAGAGCAACCTATCCGTGGAGGGTGAATACTATTGCAGCCGTTTGAGGGCTTAAAGGCGCATTATTCATCATTATTTTGTGAGTGCAATCATTGAGGTTTACATTTTATTATTGTGACGGTACTTCACTATGTGCTATGTATTCTTATGTTTTTTAGTTATTCAGCTGTATCCCTATTTTGTCCATTCACCGATATGGTTAAAAGCATTAAAACCAAAAAAGAAAGAAAATAGAAATAACCCCCCAAAAAACTTTTCATAAATAGAAAAATATTACATATTTAAGAGAGACATGATCAAAAAGCTTTTTTCTAACCCCGTAGTGACCACGGACGTACCTGGTACGTCAGCCAAAAAACGGTGGTTGTTAACGACCGCTGACGTACCCGGTGCAAAATGCAACATAGGCCCAGCAAACCAATCTGGCAAATTCAATGTGCAAACATTGAAAAGGAAAAAGCCCTACATTTGACCCTGGTAAGTTTGCAAAAGCCCATAAAATCTGTACATTGGAGGCACTGTTGTACTCAGGAGATGTTGCTTAACACATATTGGGGTGTTCTTTGGCAGTAATACATAACAGGAGTTGAGAATCCATGCCTACCCAAAAGGTTGACAAAGACTGGTGGTAGAATTAGTGCATGGAAAGTGTTAAAATACCACCATTTGAAATACCCTAGGGTGTCTACTTTTCAAAAATATATGGTTTGATGGGGGTAAATTACATTGGCCGGTTTCTAAAATGTCCCAAATGGGACATGGGTGCATGATGACCAGCTGTGAAAATTCCAAGTTGGAAAACTGGAACGCGCACCCTCTAAATAAGGTATTTTAGCCCCCAGAGAACCTGACACACCTGTACATGGTTAGTATCATTGTACTCCGGAGATGTTGTTGAACACATATTGGGGTGTTCTTTGGCAGTAACCCTTAAAGTTCTCCGTACATGTATACTTAAAATGCTATGTGTGTCAAAAAATTTTTTTTTTTTTAATTTGGCATAGATAGGCAAACAAAAAATTGTCACCCCCCATATGTTCTGCCCACCCAGTTCTGCACAAAGTGTCTTTTATGTGAAAAGGCAGTGTGTTTACATTAAAAAGCCTGAAAGCACAGGCTATAGACTCCAGAACCACTACATTAAACTGTAGTGGTTCTGGTGACTATAGTGGCCCTTTAATGTGAGGTAGATTAGAGGTTAGTGCCACTAATAATATATTGGATTGCCTACTTACCACCAGATGAGGACAAAAGGATGATGGGCTCATGCTGCAGTCTGGCTCCACAGGTCTGGTGTAGAAGAGGTTCTCTGTAACAGTGCTCACAACAATTAATGAACAGGAAACAGCTCCATTATTGGGGCCCCTTACACAGCTTAAGGTCTGGGCCCCCAGGGCCTGACCGTGAGTATGCCTACAAGGCCCACCCATAAGTTCACCTACATGGCCCACCCATGAGTTCACTCACAGGGAGTGGAGTGTATGTGTGTAATGGATGTTATGTGTTATTGTAGAGGATGTAATGTGTGTGGTCTTATGGAACGTAGTGTATAGGAATACCAATTTTTGTAAGGGGTGTAGTGTGTGTGTGTGTGTGTGTGTGTGTGTATAGGGGATGCAGTGTGTGTTTGTGTGTAAGGAATGCATTGTGTATTTCTGGATGTGTGTGTGTAAATAATACAAGGTGTGTTTCTGTATATGAAATATAATGCAGTGTGTGTCTGTAAGGGGTGCACTGCGTGTGTGCAAGAGATGCATTTTGTTTCTGTGTTTGTAAGAGAAACAGTGTGTGTATATGTGTGTGCGTGATTGTAAAAGAGAGGGTTTGTGGGGTAAGATAGTGCTCTCTAGACATGTGCAATTAGTTTCGGGCCGAATATGAATTCGGACGAATTTCGGGAAATTCGGACATTCGGGTACTTCCGAATGTCCGAATAGCTGAATTGCTGAAGTGCCGAAGTTCCTAAATTACCGAAGTGCCGAAGCACAGTATTGCCTAAGTACTAATATACTTACCCAGTGGAAGAAGAAGAATGTTACACTGTATACAATTTTAAATAAAAAGTATACAAACATAGCCAGGATTCAGCTGTAAGCATTTGCAACACTTACAACAATCAAGTAACATACATTCATATAAAATGTAAGTTACTTAGCCAGTCATGTACTGGCAGGAATGAATAAGTAGATAACTCCCTAATTCCCACAGTATTAGGGAGCTATCTACTAAAAGACTGAAAGACCTAAATTGGTCTTTCAGCCAAATTTACTAATACTAAGTAAAGATTATTTAGTATTAGTAAATTATGCCCCTACTCGCTATACCGCGAGTAGGGGCATGTCTATTAAACCTGTGGCTGCTCACTGTAAAAAACAAACAAAAAAAAAACAAAAAAACATCCCCCCTCCCCTTCCTAACCTGAAGGGGGGACCTATTGCCACCCCCCAGCCCCCACTTCTGAATGGTGGGTGGGGGCCCTAAAGTAAAATAAGGGGGGGACCTATTGTCCTCCCCCCGGCCCCACCTATGAGCGGCGGGTGGGGGCCCTAAAGTAAAGTAATGGGGGGGACCTATTGTCCTCCCCCTCAGCCTCCACCCCTGAGCGGCGGGTGGGGGCCCTAAATCAAAATAAGGTGGGGGACCTGAGCAGTGGGTGGGGGCCCTAAATTAGAATGAGGGGACGACTTAATGTCCTCCCCCTGGCCCCCACCCCTGAGTGGTTGTTGGGGGCCCTAAATACTAATTAGGGGGGGGAACCTAATGTCCTCCCCCCTGGCCCCCACCAATGAGTGGTGGGTGGGGGCCCTAAATACTAATTAGGGGGGGACCTAATGTCCTACCCCCGGCCCCCACCCCTGAGCAGTGGGTGGGGGCCCTAACAGGAGAGAGCAGTAAACAAATTCAATAAAAGCTGACTTTATTATGAAAAAAGTTGTTGTTTGCATAGTTCCATTTCATTTTTTAAATTTATTTATTTTTAAATAAACCCACTTGCGATCGCTGAACCACATGCATTAACATTAAACAGGGAAAAGATTTCTAAAATATACACTGCACTTCCTTTAAAAGCAATAGGATGACCAGGATTGGCTGAGGGATCTCATCTACTTCCTTGTCTCTGGATAATTTTCATGTTAACCGCAATGAGTAAACTACTGAGATGTAATGGTTTATTTTTCTTCTTTATTTTAAAGGTTGCTAAAAGCATAATAATATATAGTGATTATAATGCAAGGTTAAACCCTGGCTTCATTCCCTGATATGGGAAAAAAATATTTTACATCAGGTTACCACTTACCTGGTTTACTTCGGGCTCGGAGGCGCAACAATTGAAGGCTGAATGACATTTAGCGTCTGCAGAGCTGCAGAAACTGGATGCAGATACTGGAATTCATTCATTGGCCGGGAGTGTCTTCTGAGTGTTCTCAGATGATGAAAGAGTGCCTGTACATAGAATATGCACAGAATTACCAAGAAAACTTGGAACTGTTGCTCTGGGCTGGCTAAGGAAAGCGACCAAAAGTGGAGTTACACTTTTGGCAGCTTGCATCAATATCTCAGTATGTGCAGTGTTTCATACCAAGACAACTTCAAAAACCCCTTAAATGCATGAGATTCAGAAATCTGTAAAGAGAGAGTTGGGGGTGGGGTGGTCTCTTTTTATAATAGGTGGAAATACACTGCACACGCAACATGGCCTTAACACCTATGTTCCTCTCTCTGTGACTAGGATCCAATCCTCAACCACAATATCCTTAGAAAATATGTCTGAAAATGTGTCCTAGTATGGTAACTGCTGCCTGTCCCAGCCCTCAAAAAAATGTAGAGCTGAGGTATCTATTATTTATTGGGACTCTCCGGGCAAGACAACTAATTAAATACATTTTAAGGTTTTGGCCTTATTAATATGTTGCTCATATCTGTAGTTTAAAAAAAAGTTTTACAGAATGTCGCACCTTAAGCCTTCCTCCTTAGCCACACCCCATTCCAGGAAAAATACTTCCTGTTCAGTGTATGTACACAGCTCAGCCACTGACAACAGTGAGAGAGGAGAACTGATTTATGTTAAGCAGCTTGCTGAAACGCTTTATGTGTGAAGAGTATGTCCTTTTTTTTCATTTTACATAAAGCTCAGACTTCAATAGAAATGACCCTTTAAAAACTAAAAAACTAAAAAATAACATTGTTACACCCCCCTGGCTTTCATTCAGACAACAGGTAATGTTACTTCCTGGTTGTTTAGCTCAGTGTAGCCAAACTGAAGATGTAGCCATTGCCTAGACTGAGCACCTATCTTGCAAATGCATTGAAATGTCTGTGATTGGACAGCCATAGACAGTCTGGGCAGGGTTAGAATGACTGGCATCGGTAATTCTGTCACACTTGTCCAGATAGCAGAATTATGTTTAGAAAATCTATCTTTGTATCTTTGTGTTGGTTGTCCCACACACAAAAAAACCACAAGGACATTTCAAAATGTACACAGCAAAGCTTGTGTTGCATGTCATAAACTACAAAAAAGACAAACTGGTTAATGCTGATCTCCCAGTGACTAAACATACAGGTGGTACACACAAAAGAGGCCATTATCCTTGTATTAAGTGTATCGCATGTCACCCTATGAACCCCCTCACAATGGAAGAATGCTTTGTTGTGTACATTTTTAATCTATTGTGGTTTATTGTATGTGGACAAACAACACAAAGATTCAAGGATAGATTTTCTAAACAAATATCTACTATTCGGACAAGTGTGACAGAATTACCGATACCTGCCCATTTTTTTTTGTTTAAGTGACATACCTACATAATATAATATAACATAATATGTCACTACCCACATTTCAATTCGAGTGACTTCAACATGAAAACACACTGGAATTTTCATGTTGAAGTCACTCGAATTGAAATATATCAGCTTCTGCCAAGACTAAAATCGCTCATATTAAATCGTTCCAAACTGTTTAATTGACTGTTATCACCTTTCGGCTGATATTAAATCAAAACCGCAGTAAGATTATAACTGCATGTCTGTCTGTTGTTTCTCTGATTCTCTGCAGTCTGCTTGTGGGTTAAATGTGTAAGCTGAACTGTATATTAAAAGTTAGCCGATGAAAGCAGCCAGTTCGGTAGCCATATTAATCCCAGGGTTAAAAAAAATGTGCATTAACAAAAATATGTATAAAGCTCTTGTATACAATATGTGTAAAAGTTGTCGATTTCCGGTTTTCTTAGGTTATTCTGACTGTGTGGAATCTCTTTCTCTGGCTGGGGCCAGCGTACAGCAATCCATCAGTCACTTAGGATCTCCGCTTTACATGGCCTGTGAGAATCAAAAGGTGGACACTGCCAAAAAACTGCTCGAGCTAGGTGAGTATAATACAACACATGTTTATCATGAAAATGTAATTCCTACCGTTTAAATGACCGATACGTGTGACACATTACAAGGGGCTAAAATATTATAAACCAACATAAAATCTTTCAGATGGATCCTTTTTCTAATTATATCTATACATGGACCAAGTTTCAGTTGCATTGCTTAGCCCATAAAGTCCCACTTAACTTCCCCTGATTTTTATTTTTCAGAAAACCCATTCAACCCATTCAAACTCCATTCAACCCATATGCATCTCTGCATAGAATCTTTAATTGCAGCCCACCCTTTTCCTTCAAGCGGTGCACCTAGGTTTCCTGGCATCTGTTGCAAAACTGCATGTTGGCATCCTTCCGTGGATTGATGCATTTTTGTGTGCTGCTTGGAACGTCCCCTTACCCTTTTATGTGCACCACTTGGTCTCTTTGCGTTTCTCTCCTAATCCTCTCTTACCACCTTGTATGTCTCTTAACTAAACTCCCCTGTACTCTTTTTGTCCCTATTGTGTATCTTATATCCTCATTTCTGTATCTTACTTCCCTTTTGTGTCTCTTTGCCACTATTAATGTCTCATATGCCATTTAGCCCCTTTTATGTCTTTTCAACATAAAGCAGGTATAAGAGTGAGTGTTCATTTAAGAGATACTGCTGAAGATCTTGTCTAGGCCCAGTCCGTGTGGATGGTAGGTTGTACTTTGCTGTCTGTTCCTCTTGGACCGGACAGGTGGTGATCCGGTGAAGGAGGCTGAGTGCAGGTTGTGTAGCTCGGCTGCGGAATCTGGGTCTGACTGCCTCCCTCTTCATGGGCTGTTTTGTGCTGGTGGTAGCGGTTGCATGCTTCCCCGCTTCATTCCCGCTCTCTTCGTAGTCCCCACAGCTGATCTCTATGTAGTCTGCCGGAACGGCCCTGGAGTAGGTCGGGTGGCGCTGGATGGTCTCGGCTCCATTATGCTGGCAGGTCGCGCACATGGCTTGTGTGCGGAGGCCATTTTGAAGAGTGCTGCTTGGTAAGTATGCCATGGCGTGTTGGGGCTCCCAGGCTTAATGTGGCGCATACCTGGGCATCCGTGTAGACCAGGATGACCCCCCCGGTCCAGGGGGGGGAGGGCGCCATCCGCCGGCCGGAGACCCGGGTGAGCGGCCGTCTCTTCCCGGCTCAAGCTCCCTCGTGCTTCGGGCCTCCGTCTGGTCGCCGTCGATACCGGGTGTGATCTTAGGAGGTATCACTGCGTACCCCAACGGCAGGGGATCAATTTGGTCACCGGAGTGTGTCGCTGGGTGGATTTGGCCCCCAGTTATCGCCGATTTTCGGCCCTGAAGCGGAAGTTCAGACAAAGCATGTCTGATCCCTTCGGCGGCCCGACCCGGCCCCGCCCCCCAGTTATTTGACTTTTTTAATCTATTTTTTGGCACATGTTTTTAGATCTGAGCCTGTTTGAGGTTTTCCATCGATACTGCATTATTTAAAAGCCATTACAAATACACACAGCTTTAAAGGGACACTGTAGGCACCTACACCACTTCAGCTCATTGAAGTTGTCTGGTTGCAAACTCCCCTTAGCCCTAGAGTAGTAATTATTGCAGTTTTTCTAAACTAATTACCTGCTAGGTTTAACTCCTCCTCTAGTGGCTGTCTACCAGACAGCCACTAGAGGGACTTCGAGGGCTTGAAGGTGACTTTTGGTTGCCTAAACGACGCTGGACGTCCTCACACTATACATGAGGACTTCCAGCACCACGGGATTCCCCATAGGAAAGTATTGAATAATGCTTTCCTATGGGGAAATCCTAATGCAAACGCGGGCTTTGCTGCGCATGCAAATTAGATCTCCCCTGCCAGCAGCTGGCGGACGTGGCTGGGGGAAAAGCGTGGGCAGAGCTGAGCCAGCGCCGAGGGACATCGGCGCTGGACCCAGGTAAGTGACACAAGGAGTTATTAGCCCCTTCTGCACCACAGGGGTGGGCCTTGACAAAACGAGTTTGTTTTCCTGGCACTATAGTTTTCCTTTAATAATCTCCGGTCATACTCTCTCTCCATAGGGATCCCTTTATCTCTGGGAAGTATTTCAGTCCCAAAATTAACATCCAAAAACATTTATCTGGCAAAACATATGCCTAAATACCAAATACCAATAATATTCATATTGGGATGAAAGTTTACTCTGGTACCTGAAGGTTAACATGCTCAACAGATATGATGGAGCTTAATAAAATTATTTTTACATTAAAAAAAAATTAGTCAATAAAATAAAAACAATATCTGAAATTATAATAAAAGCATCTATTCTAATTAAGATCTTAATTTAATATTTTTGGATCCATTTAAAAAAAAAAAATTATTAAATATTTTAACCTTGTTAAACAAAAAAAAAAAAAACTCAAAATATATTTACCTATTTTTGATATATTGATATATATTGCTTTTACATATGGAATTTGTTTGGTATTTTAATATTTTGGAAAAATAAATAAAAAGTTTATCCAAAATACTAAATCATTTGATTTTTTTGAAACCACATTGTAAAGATCCACATGGCTTTTTTTTTATATATATATACTAACAGAAGCTCTATAGCGTTACTTCTTGGTGGCGAAAACTATTTTGGGCACCTAACTATGCAAGTACCTACAATTAAATAAACAGAATGCCCTTTACAAGTTCAACTTCTAAGACTGCTACTAATACATATAGAAATACATTTTTGAGCCTTGTGATGAAGCATTTATTTGTATGTTTGTATTTATAGGAGCAAGTGCAAATGTTGGTAAAGACTTGGACACACCTTTACACATGGCTGCAAGAACATCTAATGCTGATCTAGTTAATTTGCTTATTGACTTTGGAGGTGACACTCAATTGAAGAATGCAGAAGGAAAACGCCCATCAGAATTAGTTCAACCAAACTGTCCTGTAAACCTAGTGTTTAATAAAAGAGAAGGTAGAACTGAACCATAAAATGTATTTTGAGATCTAGACTTGTGCATTTGTTTTTTAGTCATATTGCAATTAGCTCGAATTTAGGCCAATAGGCAGGACATGGAATTATGGAACTCTATGGCCCCATATGGGCGTCTAACTGAACAAACAACAATAGAGTTTTTTTTGGCTCATGCTAATAGATCTGAGCTTGTTTGAAGTTTTCCAACTATGCTGAGGTTATTTAGAAGTCATTGCAAATACACACAGCCTTAATATATGTTGATGGTTAAGGGACATCCAACAAATGTTTATTTGCTTCACAGATCAAGTGAAAAGTGATCAATAGAGCAGAAAAGAAACACTATATATTTCTATAATATATTTATATATATATTTAATAAATATAACAGGTATTTTTTATTTTTTTTTACTGCTTATCCTATTTATCTCTCTATTAGGTACATTTTCTCACTTCATCCGTGAAACAAATGGCAGGAAAACGTGTCATCAGTGTGCTACAAAATATATCCTTTATATTATGTGTATATTTTGCAGTATACTGATCACACTAATTGGACAATTTTTCCATCTTTTTTTAGTTTATCCAAATAAATTTTTTTTGAATATTTTGCATGGAAGATATTTGAATGAGCTTAACTTCCACATGAACGACAATTGGACTACCCAAACTAAATTATATTTTTGGATGAACTAGATTTTTTCCACTGTTCACAAGTCTAACTTGAACAGTAAGCCCAGCTTGTCTGAAGAAATGTGAAAACTTAAAGTGTATCTAGATCCAGAGGCGGCTGCTGGGTAGCTGTCAAATTGTTCTGCCTTTAGCAATTATAGTTCAACAACATCTGTAGATTAACATGTTGGCTGAATTTAGACCAAGATGTGCTTTTATTTAGTGACCTCCTTCTTGTACTATTAGATTAAGTATATTATATTTGTGAATCGATTTGTTGCAAATATTCACCTTCCCAATCTATTTTATCAGCTTCCTAGTCTTACCTCAACCAATAATTTTATCTGATGTATAATTTTATCATTATTATTATGTCATGATGAGATACCCACTTCCCATTGGAGACTTTCTCTCACCAGATCCCAAGAAATCTAATGCGGTGGCTGCATGTTGCATAGTAATAGGAAAATTTTGTGACCACCTTATGTGACATTATTAAATAATGCAGAGGAGAAAAAAGTAGGTCACATAACAGAAAGTCTGTTGGCTTTAAGCAACATTGGATGCACTAATATGTGATTGTAGTTTAAACATATTTGAAAGGAGATACATTTTTTAAAAAAAATGTAAGTAAAAAATAAATACTTTTTATAATAAATATATTTATATTGAAAAATTACTAAAATGAAAAAAAAAAAAGAATTTAAACTTATCTGTAATCCAAGACAGAGACGTTCTCCTTCTACTGCTATTCTGCCTCTTCTGGGATTATCAATTGAGATAATCTCCGTGAAATGCAATAGTTCTCATAGAGAAGCTTTTTGGCGTTTGGAGATCTAAAGAGCATGAGTAGCAGTAGCTGTGCTATGATAATCAAATACTTCTCATAGTAATGTATAGAATTCAGCGCTTCACTAAAAAGCATTAACAGCATTCAATTTCAGCATGCTGTGTGCATGATGATGTGCAACATTAAGATGTTTATGAGGAAGGGCCTTTAGTGCCTTTTAGTCTGACAGTCGCTAGAGGTTTCTTCGCAGTCAAATATAAATATTACAGTTTACATTGCTAGAGAAAATGCTACATTTTTTAGCTTTGGAATGAAGGAAAATGGCTGTGAGTACCTGATGATTGAAAGGCACCGGATAGCTTCCCCTTTTGCCCTGTAGTAAAAACTGCTTTGCTCAACAAATTATGCAATAAAATAAAGAACTCTTATCTGTTGTTTAAGGGACACTCTAGACCAGGGGTAGGCAACCTTTTAGCAGCACTGTGCCGATATAGGATTGTGATGTCCCGTAGCGTGCGGTCCTATTTTTTTTAAATTGAGGTGTGTATGCTGCCGTATTCTGCTTGTGTTATTTTTACTGTAATTGCTTTGTACCGTTGTATTTGTGCGTATATGAGCTATTATATTGTATATGTTCATGAGTAGTTTATGGTATTGTGTATGATACATATGAATGTGGGCTGTGTATGGGGACTGCTTGTGGAATTGTGTGTGTGGATGGATATGTCACATTGTGTGTTTGGTAGTGTGTGGGGGCTGTTTGGGGTATTGCATGTGAGAGGCTGCATGTGGGGTTGTGTGCGTGTATGTGGATTGTCAGTGGTGTTCAGTTTGTGCGGATTGTGTGTATGTTTGTGTATGGGCTGTCTGTATTATTTGTATGAGGGGAGGGTTATTCTGCATTTCTGTGTATATCAAGCAGTGTGGGTGGCTTCCCTGGGTTCCAGTGGGGACCAGGCCAGCCAGGTACAGGTCAAGGACAGGAGCTGCAACAACAACTGCGAGCTGCTCTAATACTGTGTGGATTCCCATTCACAAGTGCTGGAATGAAGTGCTCTGAGATCACTTCCTCTACGTCCTGCAATGCATAAATTTAGGATTGTCCTTCACCACCTCTTCATATTAGCAGATATCTGAAGTTTTACTGGGACTCATGATAGGCCAGAGCATGTTTGGCTCTAGCAGCCTTGAGTGCCGTGCAAAAGCACCTCGAGTGCCGTGCATGGCACTAGTGCCGTAGGTTGCCTACCCCTGCTCTAGACCCCTAAAGAACTTTACCTTGCTGAAATGCTTCATGTGTGAAGAGTGTTTATTTATTTTTTAGCAAAAAGTGCAGGTTTTGATAGAATTTACACTTTCATAAATTAAGCTTGTTACACCCCCTTGGCTTTCAAGCAGACAACTGGCACTGCTAGTTCCTGGTTTGTTTAGCTCAGTGGAGCTAAACTCAAGAGGCAGCAATTGCTCAGAGCACCTTCCTTGCAAAGCTTTATCAATGAGCTGCATTGGGAAGTCTGCGATTGGACAGCAACAGAAAGTCTAGGTGGGTTAGAAGGGGAGGGCTTGCCAAGGCAGCAGACAAGAGAACTGCCAGTTTTACAAACTGTTTTTAATGCATAATTAAATACATGCAAGCTTTTATTGGGGGTATATCTATTAAACAGAGATTTATATTCATTTTGCATTTGGGCTGTGGAGTGTCCCTTTAAGACAGATGAGATAAGATAAATATATTATAGAAGACATGGGTGGAATTTCACAGGATTAAAGTGACACTATAGGTGATCTGGGTGCACTGTCCCTGCCCCCCTTAGTCCTGAAATTTAAAATATTGCAGTTTTACAGAAACCATATCATTGTGTAAGCCTGTTTATGACCCCATAGTGTAAAATTTCTAAAATAAGAAAAAAATATTTTATTAGATTCTATGATGATTGCTCTTTTTTTATTTATTTATTTTTTATTTTATAATAGAAACTCACCAATTCTATATCCATATTTTATAATTAAATTCAGGATTCCGTAGGTCATGTGAGTTAATTATGATCCTTTCTAAATTCCATATTAGATAGTCGTGGTAGACTGTCTGCCATTCCAGCTTCATTATACTGCTGGTAATATCTTCAAAGAAAACACACAAAGTTCTATGAAAGGAATTAATTACAGAAATAGTGATCCCAATAAGCTGCAATTTAACACCTATGAAAAGACCTACTGTGAAATAGAATCACAATGTATCAATAAATTATTAGACTCTCTTCCACTTTGCAAACATCTACTTATGTTATAAATATATATTAATAAATGTATCATTCTAATTAAAAAACAAAAGAAAACACAAATCTGATTTATTTATTTTGTTTATGGATTTCCCCCCCCAGGACCGCTGAATTTGAAGCAGATATGTCGCCTCTGTATTAGAAAATGTTTTGGACAAAATCAACATCATAGAATGTCTGAGATTCTACTTCCAGAAACATTAAAATGCTTTCTTTTATACAGATAAATTATTAATATATTTTTATAGTAAATAAATTGAACAACTGCCAACATACCTCTTAACTGACTTCAAGTTTTTCAAGAAACAGTTTGCATTGTGTAAAGACTGGGTATAGAAGCTTTAAGCTTTGTGCTAGGAGAATATTGGGGATCAATGGGGAAACTAGAAAAAGTCAGGTTACTGCACCATTGACATGTCTTTAACCCTTTAAGGACACAACTTCTGGAATAAAAAAGAAAATATTCCGTCATGTATCCTTAAGGGGTTAATAGGCTTAATTATTTTATATATATATGTATAACAAAAATCAATATATAAGGAGCACTCACAGGTCTTCACCTGAATACTGATTTATTCTAAAGTGCAAATTACATGTGCAATCGACGTTTCGACCCTCACAGGGTCTTCTTCAAGAGACCCTGTGAGGGTCGAAACGTCGATTGCACATGTAATTTGCACTTTGGAATAAATCAGTATTCAGATGAAGACCTGTGAGTGCTCCTTATATATTGATTTTTGTTATATGTCTAAACGCTGAGGATTGCACCCAGGCAGTAATGTACAAATTCTTTTTGAAAAATTAAGGATGAGTGCCAAGAATCTTCTATATATATATATATATATATATATATATATATATATATATATATATAGTAAGATAACAGGCATTTACTTCATGAATAATATTCATATGCTTCATCTGAAGTCCAAGGCTATGTTCAACTAGCCCAACATATTTTACTCATATATGGGTACAATCTGCATAAGTGTTTAAGATGCAGCTTAAAAGGTTATTACTTTGAATTTAAGTGGCACTGTAAGCTACAGTTGATTGTAGTAGTTATGGTGCTATGAAGCTGTGATCACTGTCCCCCAAGTTTTTTTTAAAGTTGTTTCGGGGTGCTTTGGCAAAAACCCTCTGCAGATTGATGTATAATGCAGATATTACATCTAACATCCAAATGTAATGATAGAGTGCTGAGTTCTAGGGATGTAATTCTCTGTCAGCTAACAAATTGGATGTACATTTCTCAGTATGTACCATTGGGTAATAAATATAAAAGAAACAAATTAAAACCAATGTGGCTTAGTAGAGAAGTAAAACAAGAGATTAAAAATAAGAAAAGGGCATTTAAAGCATTTAAGTCAGACAAATCAAAGGCATCCTATTTAAGACATAAGGAAGCCAATAACGCTTGCAAAAATGCAATTAAAGTGGCTAAACTAGAAAATGAGAAATTGATAGCTAAAGAATGCAAAACCAACCCCAAAATTTATTTCAAGTACATCAATTCTAAAAAAACAAAAAATGAAAGTGTAGGTACACTTGAAACAGAGTTGGGTTTATTAGCTAATGAAGACCAGGAAAAAGCAGACATTTTAAATAACTATTTTTCTTCAGTATATATTAATGAGGATCCTATGGCAAGAGATATGCAAATGATTGCTGCAAAAAACTTGCAAATAACTTGTGATTGGATAACTCGAGACAAGATGCTACAGCTATTAAAGAAAATGTAAATAAAGCTGCGGGGCCTGAAGGTATTCACCCACGAGTACTTAAGGAGCTAAGTGGGGAAATAAGTGAACCTCTGTATTTAATTTTTCAAGATTCTTTTGTTTCAGGTGTTGTACCGGAGGATTGGAGGAAGGCAGATGTTGTTCCTATATTTTAAAAGGGTTCAAAATCCTTGCCTGGAAATTATAGACCTGTGAGCTTAACTTCTGTAACTGGGAAAATATTTGAAGGGCTATTAAGGGATAATATTCAGGAATTCATTGGGAAGAACTTTATAAGCAATAATCAGCATGGTTTTATGAAACATAGGTCATGTCAAACTAACCTAATTACATTCTACGAAGAAGTAAGTAGAAGTATAGATCAGGGTGTTGCAGTGGATGTGATCTACTTGGATTTTGCCAAGGCATTTGATACGGTTCCTCACAATAGGTTAGTCTTCAAACTAAAAGAAATTGGTCTAGATTAATATTATTGTTCTTGGGTAGAACATTGGCTTAAGGATAGAGTACAATGAGTTGTAATTAATGGTAAATTTTCAGGCTGAACAAAAGTGGTAAGTGGTGTCCCTCAGAGTTCTGTTTTGGGACCACTTTTATTTAACATATTTATAAATGATCTTGAAATAGGCATTAAAAATCCATGTATCAGTGTTTGCAGATGACACACAACTTTGTAAAGTAATAAAATGTGAGCAGGATATTGCTTTGCTGCAGAGAGATTTGCATAGATTGGGGGACTGGGCACTAAAATGGCAGATGAAATTTAACATAGAGAAATGCAAAGTTATGCACTTCGGGGTTAAAAATGCACAAGCAACTTACACACCTAAATGGTAGTGAATTAGGGATAACCACACACGAGAAGGATTTGGGAATTGTTATAGACAACAAATTAGGCAGCAATATGCAATGTCAATCTGCAGTTGCTAAGGCCAGTAAGATTTTGTCATGTATAAATAGGGGTATAAATTCTCGGGATGAAAATATAATTTTGCCTCTGTATAAATCGCTGGTAAGACCACACCTTGAATATGCTGTGCAATTTTGGGCGCCTGTTCTAAAGAAGGATATCATGGCACTGGAGAGGGTCCAGAGACGAGCTACAAAATTGATAAAAGGAATGGAGCATTTTAGTTATGAAGAAAGGTTAAAAAAATTAAATCTGTTTAGTTTGGAAAAACAGCGCCTGAGAGGGGATATGATAACTTTATACAAATATATTCGGGGCCAGTACAAACCTTTATCTGGAAATCTATTCATAAACAGGGCTATACATAGGACACGAGGTCACACATTTAGGCTGGAAGAAAGGAGATTTCATCTAAGGCAAAGAAAAGGTTTTTTTACAGTAAGAACAATAAGGATATGGAATTCTCTGCCTGAAGAGGTGGTTTTGTCAGAGTCCATACAGATGTTTAAACTGAAATTGGATAAATACTTACAAAAATATAACATACAGGGATATAATTTCTAATTAGTGGGGTAATAGCTGCTTGATCCAAGGAGACATCTGACTGCAAGAAGGAATTTTTTCCTAGTTTGTGGCAAAATTGGAAGCACTTCAGACCAGGTTTTTTGCCTTCTTTTGGATCAACAGCAACACCATTTGTGAGGAAGGCTGAACTTGATGGACGTCTCTTTTCAGCTATGTAACTATGTAACTACGTAACTATCAGTCTCAATAATTGCAACATAAAGGACACAGAAAGCATGTGTTGAGCAGAAACTGGTTTTGATTTGAAATGTGTTGTCTTTTTTTTTGTGTAATGACTTAAATGCAAATTACTTTTTAAACATCTTTTAGACGGGTGTTTATATTATGTTTTTGTATATGGTCAATTTGTGAATACAATTCCATCATGTAGTAAAATTATTCGGAGAAAAATATAATGGACAAACAGCCCAAACATGAAGGATTAACTGAGTTGGACATCACATCTACATAAGAGCCGATCCAGGTCCAGATTTCCTTATATTTATAACAATGTCCTCTGTAACAAACTGTTCTAAATGATGTCCTATTAAGAAAACTTCATATTGAGGAAAATTCAGTATTCCTCTGGAAAATCCGACTGTGGACCTAGTAGGACATTGATGTTCAAAATGGTTGGAGTAAAGGATAAATTAGTCAAATCAGTCTGAGATTATATGATGATAATAACAATCAAAATAGTGGAACAGCGGGGTCGTGTCCTGACAGGGGATCGGAGCCGACGCATGTGTTAGAAGCTCTGTTCCTCATAAGCTTCAAACGAGCAATTGAGCCCAGAACAACGCAGAAAAACCCTAACATGTCACAGCCTAAGGAGAAAAGGAACACTGAGAGGTCTGAGAGCACATTTTTTCGCTTCCCAAGCCGGGCAAGGTAAAATCTCGCTGCCGCAACAACAGGCTAAAGATGGCACATATGGACCAAGCAGCACCACACATGGAGCCAGGCCCCATGCTGACACTAGTAATGCTCAAAACGTTACTGGATGAGATGTCCGAGAAAATATTGGGCAAGCTGGATAAAGCGATGCAAGACATACACACAGACCTCCATGAGCTGGGCACACGCACCTCCCAAGTGGAGGACAAAATGGAGGAGTATGACGAGGCATATAATGCACTGACAGGTAAGGTGGAGAGCCTCACTACCAGACTTGACGAGCACGACATGAAAATGGCTGACATGGAAGACAGGTCCTGCAGAAATAATCTGAGGATAAGGGGCATAGCAGAAGATGTGGGGATATTGGAACTAACGGCCCATGTTACAGGACTGATGAAACACCTGTTACCAGACTGGACCCAAGATATGTTCCTTTTTGATAAGATTCACCGCACTGTAAAACTCAAATTTCTGCCACAGGACACGCCAAGAGTTGTGCTGCTTCGCATGCACTATTACTATGCAAAGGAGGCTGTCCTCAATGCCAGCAGACTCGGCAAAGGCTTACAAGAGGACTCTAAAGGCATCAATATTTATGCAGACATTTCAGCTTTCACCCTGAAACGCAGGCGGGACTTTAGAGCCATAACACAGTGGCTGCAAGACCAGCACTTACCCTTCAGATGGGGTTACCCCACCAAGCTACTGGTTACCAGTAGAGGTAAGACCACGGTCATACAGACGCCTGAAGATGGAGACCGCTTATGAGCATCATGGGACCTTGGAGTATTTGAACACCCGAGAGCTGGAAAAGACGACAATAGATTGTCTCCGAATTGCAGGAAGACACAGAAGACATGAAGGGACTGAAGCTTAGCCACTACTGTCATGATTAAAGGGGCCCTCGACAGGACCTGGGAGCAGGTGCACACGTCTTGGGCATACCAGAGTTCTCAAGTGACGACATGAGGGTACCCCCAGCTTAGATTCCACACATTCTGGTTCTAAGAGATAGGATTAGCTACAGTGCACCCGGTCAGGGCAGGAGATACACTTAAGATACCACCACAAATGTGTTAACACGGCATTCGTCAAGTTTATGATATAGGGCTACAAAGTTTGAAAGATACAATGTTAAAATGTAAGAAGCG